TGGAAGCCAACAAGAGATGTGCAGAAGTAGTTGGCTTCTCAGGAAACTCTTTAAGAAAGAGACAGAGAAGTGGCAGGTGCTCCTTTTGCCCTGCTTCCCTCTTCCTGCTTTCTGCATAGATATGATGGCTGGAGCTGCAGCAGCCACCTTGGACCATGAGGTGACCTTGAAGGTGGAATCCCCATACCTAGAACAGTAGAGCAGGAAAATAGGAGTATGGGTCAGTGATGACTGTAAAGCCATCACACCAACTGCGGACTGCCACTGCTGGATTCTTTAAGTAAAAACAAAACAAAACACCTGCTTTAATTAAGCTTTTATACAAGCAGCCAAATGAACTTCCTCCCTGATTCAGAATTCAACCTGTTTTCTGTTTCCTCGACACTCTGGACATTTCCTTCTTTCAAAACCCAGCTCAACTGTTACTTCCTCCTGGAAGCTTTTCCCTGAATGCTCCTACCCCACAGCCTCCTATGCTGCTCTTAAGTGCCCTAAAAGCCCACTTTCTGCCAATCCAAGAACTCTTCACTACTCATTGCTTTGGGCTCTTTATCCAGTTGTCCTCTAATGCCCTTGGTTCCCTGCTACCACTATCCATCTTCTCCTCCTATCCCAATGCTGCTCCCTCCTGGTCTTTCCCAGGTCCTCTGGTCACCACCATGCATGAAGGATGCAATGTCTCAGGATTCTGTTCTGGACCCTTTTGTCTTTTCTCTCTCCATGTTGCCCTGGGCAATCACACATCACTGTGGCTTTAGCCACCACCTCTGTGCTGATGACTTAAAATCCAGTGACCTACTGGGCTGTCTTGAACCTGAGCAATTATTAGTTTCAGGAGTTTTGTGAGCTAGTTGTTAAAGTCATTTATTAAACATTAAAAATAGTATAAATGTATGATTATATAAATTATACTAAGAACAAAGACATTATATACTCAAAACAAAACTTTCTAATTATATTACTAGTATCTATGCCCCTAAGATTATTTCTATCTATTTTGTCTGGATGATAAGAATACTTTATAAAGATTGCTACTAGCCATTATTTCTCAATTCTCTGCTCAGTGACATCACACAAACAGCTTGAAATCAACCCCGGTGGGAGAATTTATACCATGAGTACAGGCAAACTCTGCAGATGGAGGTGTTTCCCTGCTTAGAGAGCCACATGTTGAAAAATTTCCCAGTATATCATTGAAATCTTGCCAATCTTGGACTGGCAAATCTGTACCAGAAGCCAACCTGCATGACTCCTTGAGCTCCGGGCGCAGGTATTCTATTTGCTAGATGCCTCTCCAGCTGTCTAACAGGCTTGGCACTTTCCTCGCACACCAAACAAGCTCAGTGTCATCTCTGCAACACTGACCAACCTCCTGATGCCTATTTCATTTGCAGCAAGGCCATTCACCCTGTTGACTAAGAAAGAACAATCTCTAACACCCAATAAGTTACTTCCTAAATGATTCCCAAATCTCTCCATCCAGTCCTTTTCCAGCCTCACCCCAGCTTCTGTTTAGACTTTGTTGTCCTTCTTGTGGATTCTGCCCAGCCTCTTCACTGATCTCGCTGCTTGTCCCCTTCCGACCCACCTCCATTTGTCCCCATATAATGCAAATCTAAGGGCCTCCCTGGTGGCGCAAGGGGTTAAGCACAGCACTGTGAAGCTATCTGAAGCCTCTGCAGGCTGACTTCGATCCCCATCCAGCCAGGGAGCTACCCACATGGCGCAGCAGACCTCTCCTGTCTCACCTGCTGCTCCCCTCAGCAGTGTATTTCTGTCTGCCTATTCTGTTTTCCCCTCTATCTCTGGTGAATCCTCTCACCCCCTACATTTCTGGCCTGTACCCCAGTTCTTGTACTCATAAATAAATAAAATATTTTTTAAAAATGCAAATCTGAGTCCTGGGGAGATATCATGGACAGCATGATGACTATAAAATCTTTCAGTGACTTCCTACTTCCTACAAAAGGAAGTAGAGACACCCTTCACATTGTTTTTCTCTCCTCTCCTGCCTCCTTCTCTGTCCTTTTTCATCACTTACTCTAACATTCAGGAGTTCTTAGTTGTGAGCCACAGAAATCACTTCTGGTTAACTTAAGCAGGCAAGGAATTAATTAACCATTATTGGATATCTTGGAAACTCTTTGAAAGGACAAAGAATCTTCCTTGGAGACCACACAGCCTGAAATGATGCTTCGAATAACACTGTCGAGCAGGCCCAGGAGACTCCCCAGATGTGGCTGCCAAGTATGAATGGTGCAACCCTGTCCTGCCAGATGCTCCCCGAACTAGCACCATTGCAGCCCATGGTCCTGACAGGGCCTGCCATCACTGCCACTGCCACCTGTCCTCACCAGAGCAGACTCTGTCTAGTGCCTGCTCCCTCTGCCACTACCTTTGGGTTCAAAGCCCAGGAGTAGTGTCTAGGAATGAGGTCACACGTCCAGGTGGTAAGGAAGTCTGGGAAAGCATTGCCAGCTCCTGGATAGGGACATGGGCTCTGTCTCAAAAGGCGGGGGATCCCCCAAATGCACGAAGGGAGCAACTCCAATGCTGAGAAGCCAACAACAATGACCGGTGTCCCCAGGATAGCATTTAAATTTATACTAGTAAAATACTATGCAAGGTAAAACACAAGAATACCTCATTTTATTGTCCTTCGCCTTATTGTGCTTCACAGACACTGCATTTTTTACATATTAAAAGTTTGTGGTCACCCCACATTGACCAAGTCTACAGGTGACATGTTTCCAACAGCCTGTGCCCACTTTGTATTTCGTTGTCACATTTGGTAAGGTCTGCATGTTGTTTTTAGAAACACTGCTGCTGCACATGTAGTAGACTACAATACATTCTAAATGTAACTTTTATATGCTCTGGGAAACCAGAAAAGGCCTGTGACTCTTTCATGGCGATAGCTGCTTTATTGTGGTGATCTGGAACCGAACTGAGGTCTTCCTGAATTAAATGGCCTAAGAAGGGAGGATATGAAATGTGAAAACCTCACAGTCCCATTTGCTAGAGGTAACTACTGTTGAGGGTTTTTTTAATCCCTACAGAAGCGTTCTGTGTATATTCAGCTATAAACATTACATGTATGTGTTTGTATATAAGGTGTCTATATAATGTATATAGTATATGTTAAGTATGTGTGTGCCTATCTGTATTTCCTATGTATCAAAATTAGCCAGTTCCACACATTACAGTTTGGCATCTGCTTCTCTCACTTAAACACCATCTCTTGACACACTCCTATGTCAGCAGCATGCATCTAGCTCGTCCTTCCTAATGACAGCACAGCAGTGCACTGGGGAGACCACAATTAACCAGTTGGCCCTCTACAAATGGACATTTAGATCATTTTCAGCATGTTTGTTTGTTTTTGTTGTTACTGTTTTTGTTGTTGCTGCAATAAACCATGTTGCAGTGAACACCTTGCGCAAATGTCTTTGTGTGCTCATACAAGTAGAGATCTGAGTGATAAATTCCTGAAAGTGGAGCTGTTGGCTCAAAAGGAGCATGCATTTATGTTTTTGGTGAACATTGCCAAATTGCTTTCCAAAAAACACATGCCAATTTGCAGCTCTGTCAGTGGCCTGCAAACAGTTTTTTCCAGGTCCTATACGCGTAGCTGCTGGACACACCCTCCCCTAGTGGCCTGTCACATACACTGCATTTCCAGCCCCAGTGCCTTTGCCCATGCTATACCTAAAGCCAGGAATCCCCTTCTTCCCTGTCTACCAGATGGACTCTCACCTGTCCCACAAGGCCCAGCTCAGATGTTGCCTCCTCTATACAGCCTTCCTTGACTCCCACTAAGCTGTCAGAGTCTCTTCCTCTGGTATCCTACAACTTCTTGGGCATAATTCTGCCATAGCACCAGCTGAAGACCCATGTGTGTGTGACATTATGGAGTCATTTTAACAATCTCCACCCAAACCACACATAAAATAATGTTCTTATCTACCTCTTTCTGCCCTCCTGGTTTTCCAGCTGCACTGCCTTTTATTTGTCCCTAAGCACTGTCCTGTCTCAGGGCCTTTGCACTTGCAATTCCCACTTTATGAAGCTTGCCTAGACCCCACCTTCCCTGGGGTCTAGTTTCCTACTCACCTCTTCACAGAGGCCTTCGCTGACCACTGTCTCAGACAGCTCTCTTCTCAGGTACATGCCCAATTTATTATTTTCCTAACAGCCCTCAAACAGAAATGACCTTGTTTAATTTAAGTGTTGACACGTTTATTTTATGTTCTGTGCCTTGTCTCTACACACACACATACACACACACACACAGAGAGAGAGAGAGAGAGAGAGAGAGAGAGAGAGAGAGAGAGAGAGAGAGAGAGAGAGAGAGAGAAGAGAGAGAGAGAGTTATAACTCCCTAAGAGCAGGACCTTGTTTTCCTTTTCCACTGCCTGACACTGTCTCAGCGCTCAATAAACATTCGTCTAACTAACCATTCATATTTTACGGAAGCGAAAATTCAGAAAAGAGAGTCGAGTACCCCAAGGTACCCCTGAGATTCGATCCACCTGAACCCCAAAGCCAGCTGCAGTTCTGATTTCCTACTGTTAGCACGCCCCACCAGACTAGGCTCTTGCGAGCAGAGCGCGAGTCTGACGCTCGGGGTCCCCAGCGGCGCGGCGCTCGCCCGCCCCTTGAGGCTAGCAGGATCCGCGGAGATGTCACCCTCCCCGCCCCCTGTCAGTCAGGCCGAGGGGGCGGCGCGGCCGCCAGGGGGGGCGCTGAGCTCAGAGCTGCCGCAGCACCAGAGCCAGAGCAAGCGAGCTAGCCAGGCGCAAGGCGCGAACGGTGGCTGGCGACGCACCCAAGGCCCGGGCACTGCTGCGCCCTGGTTTAGGGCCGGCGCCCCGTCTGCTGTAGTCCGACCAGAGCGCCTGGCCACTGCCGGATCCTCTGACGACCTTGAGCCCACCCCTCCCGGCCTAGCCGAGCCCCAGCGTCCTCCCGCTGCAGCCGCAGCCGCAGCCTCAGCACAACTCCATCCCCAGCCCGGGCCGCGCATCCAGGTGAGGCGGCCGTGCCGCCGGGCTCCAGGGGCCGGGGAGAGTCTGGGAACGGAGTGAGGTGGAAAAGGGTTGGAGATGGAGAGAAGACCGGGTGGGTTAGGGAAGGGGTTGGGGATGGAGAGGGTACTCTAGGATGGGGGAGAAAAAGGAGAAGGGGCCGAAGGCGGAGATGGGGAAGGGGCTGGAGAACCCAGAGAGGGCGAGGGCGCCCGGGGTGCGTGTCAGTGTGCGCCCTGGGGTCTGCTGCTCTGTATCTGCAACAGCCTGGATGGCCGAGCGGACGTGCTCCCGCGCCCGTGTGCCCAAGGGTCCGTGTGCGTTTGATCGTCTGTGTGTCCTGGGTGTGCATGTGAGCGTATCCGTGGAGTATGTTTATGTGCATGTCAGTGTGACTCTCGCGTGTGCACGGGCAGGCTCCGGGGCTTCGCGCCGAGCCCGGCGCTCTGGTTCCGCAGGGCAGCAGGTTGCAGGGCCCCGGATAACCGAGGTGGGGGCCCCTCCCGCGTCCCGGGGTTTCAAGGACGCCAGGACTCACCGCGGCCCTGTGGCCTCGCTCTGGGGAGCCGGGACAGCGGGAGTGGGCTCTGGCCCAGGAGGGCGCCGCGGTCTCAAGATCGAGGGGAGGGGGCACCCTTGTCCCTCTGGAAAGGATGGGGTGAGGGTGCGAGACCAGCGCACCGGTGCCCTGTGTTCGCCCTTCCCAGGCCGCCAGGATGGACATGTTCATGAAGGGCCTATCCATGGCCAAGGAGGGCGTCGTGGCCGCGGCGGAGAAAACCAAGCAGGGGGTCACCGAGGCCGCTGAGAAGACCAAGGAGGGCGTCCTCTACGTCGGTGGGCGAGGGGCGGGGCTTCCAGGGCTGCAGGGTTTCGGAGCCCCCAGAGGGTGTGGGACCCCTCCCCCAGGGTCCTTAGAGGGAGGGCGCTGGAGTCAGGGCAGGAGAATATGAGTCAGCAGATGGGGCCGGGTCAGCAGATGTCACTGGGGAGAAAGCCAGGGCAGCGTGGGTCCGCAAGGAGACCGAAAGGAGTGCTGAGGCGGCGGGGTTGGGATAGTGAGGCTGAGCTAGCAGGCCAGGGGGCAATCCAGTGTCCCACGCAGATGGACACCTTTTCCTCATTCTCATCATGGGTAACTAGTGTTGAGTCTGTCGTCCACCTGCCTAGTACTGTGTGAAATGTCGTAAGGAACATCACCTCATCTAAAGCCCCCAGCCCATTCCACAGATCAGGCAAACTGGGGCTCCCAAAAGTTTAACTACCTTGCCCAAGGTCACTCAGCTGGTAGAGCCTGAGGCTGGAGTTTGAGCCAAGCTTTTGGACTCCCACCCCTCCCCTTGCTGCTGACCCCCCAACTCCTGCAATACTTGAGCTCCCTCCCAGCCCATTACTCCCCAAGATTCCCAGCTTCCCAATGCCTGTGGTTCCACCATCTCCATCTCTCCTCTGGGTCCACCCTTCTTGCAGTTGCTAGCTGGTGTCAGGAGAAAGGCCACGCAGTTAACATCTCTCACCCTAACTGTGAAAGGAGAGGGAGCCTACAGAGTCATTTGCATAAAGGGAGAAAAGGCCCCAGAAACTGACATTTACTCAACACTTGTGGTTACTCTGGGCTTTCTAGTGTGCGAGGCTTAGAACTATCCCCTCTGCAGGCTGAAGAAGGCTGCAAAACTTGCTCAGATTTGTGGCAGACTTGGGATTGTAGTTACTTCACTTACTATGTGCAGGGAGGCAAAGGTGCCTTCTCTCCTGATGCTGAAACAGAGTATCCCAGTAACCGCTTTGCCATCAGTGGCTGGGTCAGGGCCACTTTGGTAGGGCAGTCAGAAAGGGTGGCATTTGAGCTAAGCCTGGAAGAATAAGGAGCCAAGTAGATGTGGGGTAGGCAGAAAAGGTAGGAGCAAAGGCTCTGGAATGGACTGACAGAAACCGGGCTGGAGAGCAGAGGGTGGGAAGCAGTGGTAGGAGATGAGATCAGAAAGGTAGGAAGGGCCCAGTGCATGCAGGAAACCTTATGGGCCAGGGCAAAGCATTATAATTGCGTGTGAGGGACAGAGGCTCTGTCTTCAGTTTATGGGGCCCCTCAGGGAGATATTGGAGCCACCAGGTGAGGGTAGCTGGAGCTAAGACAGAGGTGTGGGAGATGGGCAAAGACTTGAGCCCATCCCTATTGGACTCAAGCTCTCGCCTCCTTCCTGTCTCTTTCCCCAGCCCTTTTGCTCTCCCTGTCTCAGACTCTGTTCCTCTCCTGCCTCTTAGATTGGTATCTCATCCTCTAGCCAGGATCCCTCAATGGCTCCCCAGTTCCCACATGTTGATACCTCAACTCCCTATAACCTAGTAGTCAACGCCCTTCCTTGCCCTGCCTCAGTCTACATTTCCGCCTTTGTTTCCTGCCATTCCTATGGCTCTGGGCACACGGATTTACCTGGATATACTTCTTGCGGGCACCTTTTTGTGCATGTCTGCGTGGTTTCCTCTGCCCGGAACACCCTCCCCAGACCCTTTCTAGCTCTCCTTGCGTGAGCAAATGCCCCATCCCCTGTCACATACTCCTGGAGCCTGGAAGTCCCCGCAACTAGAGGTCCTAGCCACCGAATCTCCTTTTCTCTTATCTCCACCAGTGAGCCATTGACCCAGCCTGCCACACCACAGGTGCCAACAAATGTTCATGGGAGGAATGAACAGGTGCACCTCCCGCCGGCTCCTCTGCCTGAGTGCAGTTAGCCTGGGAATCCTGTCTTCCCATACCAGCCATCAGTGAAAGAAGGAGGGAGACCCCTCCTCCTACAGACTAGCCGCAGCCTGCTCAGACACCCATTTCTGGGTCTATCAGCTGTTCTTCAGTTTCTAAAGGCTCCAGATGGGAGACTCCCTACTCTCCTGAGGTCCCCTGTGCTCCTCCTCAGGTCAGGCCCCCTTGCTTTTCCCAGCAGCTCCACATTTTGATGTGACCAAGCCACTAGCCTCTGGGAAGGCCAGCAGTGTGGGTGGATCACATCACCCCATGCCCATCCTGCACCTAAGACCCAACCCACTTCAACCAGAAAGGAGGCTCTGTACCCTTACTATGAAAAAAGAATCTTTAGGAGAAATGGGGTGAAGGATGGTGGAATGTGGGTGCCAGGTGAAACTTTCCAAATACACAGACTTTTTGCCACCAATTTGCTCCCAACTTGGGCTTCATACAGTAGTAGCTGGAGTTTTGGAATTCAAAAGGCGTGATCTCTAATGCCATTCCAGTCACTTACCAGTTGTAAGACGCTAACGGAGCTTCTCTTTCTATCTATGAAATAGCAGCCACCTCCCAGGCTGGGGAAAGGATTAAATGAAATGGCACAAGTGGGGTGCTTTGAACAGTGCTGGTGCTCAAACAGCACCCACAGAGGGGTGGGTGCAGCTATCCTATCAGCTTAGGTGGTGGAAGAGAATGGGAAGTCCTAAGGAAGAAAGTTGGGGGGGGGGATCTGTTTGGTGATGAGCAGGGTTTATGGGATTCTGAGGCCCAGGAGGCAGTGATGGGCCCAGGAGGGCTGCTGCTGACTGGGCCTCTGCTGCTTTATCACCACCGTGCTTGCTGGAGTCTCTGTGCCCTCACCTCATGTGCTCCTTCTGCCTGCAGGAAGCAAGACCCGAGAAGGGGTGGTACAAGGAGTGGCCTCAGGTACCAGCCCAACCCTGCCACAGCCCCCTTTCACTCCTCATGCCTGTGATCTGGTCAGGATTGAGGGTGGGGGGAGGAGTGGAAGTGGCAACTCCCAAAGCTGCCTGAGTTGGGGTGCTACACAAGGAAAGTAGACCCTGGGACAGCACTACGGAGGGAAGCCTCTATATACCCTTCACCCTGGCCCCCACCCCTCCCTTAATCCTCTCTGTGCTCTAGTGGCTGAGAAAACCAAGGAGCAGGCCTCCCATCTGGGAGGGGCTGTGTTCTCTGGGGCTGGGAACATCGCAGCAGCTACAGGCCTGGTGAAGAAGGAAGAATTCCCCACTGATCTCAAGGTGAGCAATCATCCCATCATGCTCATGTGCAGATGTCCAGGACCCCCATATACCTACCAACAAGATGGCTTGTCCCCCAGCCATCTTGGGGCACAAGCCACCTTGCCTTACATTCTGCTGACTTAGCTCTAAAGAAGACTGACTAAGAGCGTAACACACCTAGTCAGAGTGACCCAGATCTGGTTGTATTCGTGCATCCTGCTTATGAGTGTATCCCAGACCACTTCTGGCCACATCTGTGTGTGTGTCACCTATTGTTCATTCAGTTCATTCAACAAGTATTTGTGCCAGGAGGAAAATGTTCTAGGGGTTACTGCAGTAAATTGATGTCCCCATTGATGTTGTTGACACTGTAGTGGGAGATGATAATCAAGAAAAAGCCAACCAGTAAGCATGATTTGAGATGGTGGGAAGTGCTATGAAGAAAAGTCAAGGGTGAAGGGGTAGAGAATCAAGCTTCTTTAGCTAGGAGGGCTTCTCTGAAGAGGTGACATTTGAGCTGACACACCAGGGATGAGGCAAGCCATGTGGGAAGTATATATTGAGCAGGAATAGCAAGTGCAAAGGCCCTGAGGCGGACATGAGCAGGTGTGAGCCACGGGGGAGCAGTGGATTGAGTGTCACAGATTGTATAAGCAAATTCCCATGGGGAAGTGGAGGTGGCTAACCATGTGTGCCTGAAGATAGACACCTCCACTAGGACATATTTAGGGGAAGAGCTGTGAGCTCTGGAGCCCCACAGAGCTGAATTTGAATCTCAGCTCCATTATTTCCTGATGGTGTGGCTCTGAGCCCATTCTTTTCCTGTAAGACAGGAACTGGTCATGTAGGACTTTTCAGTAGATTAGCGATAGTATAGATTAGAGGTTATCAAAACCTAAGTGATTAAGAGTCACCAGGAGGCCAGGTTAAAATATAGACTCTTGGTCCCATCCCTGGAATTTCGGATTCAGTAGGTCTTCCGTGGGGCCCAAGAGTTTGCATTTCTAACAGGTACCTAGGTGATGCTGATGTTGCAGGTCCAGGGACCTCACTTTGAGGACACTGATGTAATGAGCTTGGCTGTCATGCAGCGAGTGCTCAGTGAGATAAGGTGACCCATGATTACGCAAGTGGTCCGTGTCTGCCCCTAGGGGCTCGTAAGACCACTGATGTGCTTGGAAGTGTGCCTCCCTAATGGGACATGCTGAGGAGCTGTAGATCTGTGTGGAGTTTCCTCCTGTGGGATGATCCGTGTCTGCCCACAGACAAGTGCAGTCTGGCTTGGTAGCTGGGGGCAGGGCTGCTTGTTTAGCATTTGGTTTGAGAGGTCAGTCCCCATTCCGTGTCTCCATCAGACTTTGGGCCCCCACACCCACCCCACCCTCTATTCAGACATTTTGCACAGTTGGTTCCTTCCCCTATCAGAAGTCTGAGACCTGACTCTGGAATTTCTGGTTCAACTTCTTCCCTCTGTAATTTTCCAGCTGTCTGGCTTCCCATTTCATAACAATCTGTTTCCAGTGAACACTTTCATCCATTGACCTCTTGCACAGGCAGGCGCCATTCTAGACATTTACACGGAGTAACTAATTCATTGAGTCTTCACCATGTCCCTATGAAGAAGGCACCACAACTAGCCATCTTGCAGATGAAGGAAATGAGGCTCAGAGCAGTGAAGTAACAAGCCAAAGATTCCAGTTCCTGCAGACTCAGCTGCTTGTGCTTAGAAGCTCAGGCCCATGGCAAGGGAGTTGCTTGGTGCCCATGCGGGGCCAGTCCCTGTGCTGGGAGCTTGAGGCTTAGAGAGGGGCAGCTCTGGGCCTTCCCTGTTAGCCCTGAGGCTGTCTGCCATGGCCTTCACACAGAACCATTCTCCTAGGCCACCTTCCTTCTACCTGCACTTGTTGACACCTCAAGCTCCCTCTCTCAAGGGAGCTCAAGATCATAGATTTATAATCCAAACAACAGCCCTTTGGGGCCACTGGGCATGGGGGAGCCCACGCCAGCCCCAGGTACACATTTCATTTCCGATGTATATACCTACCAGCCTACCCACGGACATTAGCATGGGATTGTCCCATACTCCTACAAAGCAGAGAGCACTGCCAAAGACAGCAATTGGAAGGGAAGTACCAACTGCTGTGAGTGGTCAGCCTGGGATGTTTCTTAAGGCAACGTTTTCATGAATTACAACACACACTCAGAAAGCACCATAGGAATCCATGAAATCCTCCAAAGGGAACTCTCCATGGAACTAGATCCTCATCAAAACATACAACACCAGCCCCTCAGAAGTCCACCCTAGACCCCCTTCCCATCCCTCTGCCCAGGCCAAGGTGAATGATGGGTCTGGGCACATAATTTAAGGGGACCCATTCTGGGGTCTCATGGCCTGGCCCTTCCATCTTGGTGCTGCTTCCCCCTTCTAAGGGTTACTGCTCCTCTAATTTTGTCACCACCAATGATTTAAGTGGCTTTTAACTTAACATAAATGTCATCATCAGATACATGCGCTCCTGCTACTAGCTTCTTTCACTCAAGAAAGTGTGAGATTGGCACTGTTGACCTTCTGTGCTGCATCCATCCTGTGGCCACCATGACGCACACCTATAGTCTACTGCTGTTGGACATTGGAATTGTTTCCAAACCATGTGCCCAACCTGGGATTTTTAACACTATCTTTTCTGGGTTCTGGTCACCTGGATAACTTTAGAAAAGTAGCATTTCCCTACCTCCTGGGTTTTGATGTACACTAGGGGAAATGAGCTGTAAACTCACGTGTCCACCGAGACAGGTAATGTGAAGGCACTGAAGCTGCCTGGATGGGCTGGGTCAGCTAGAGCATAGATCAGCAGGCCTCAGTGACAGCCCTCCAGAGTCCCGGGGTCCTTATCTCTGCCCAGTAAGGACAGTAGTTTCTTGTGAAGGTGGGGGAGGTGGTACGCCCCCTTCCTGCAGTTTCTCCCAGGGACCCATGCATGTGCCTGCCCGCATGTGGCTTTATGCAACCTTACATGGACCCCAGGTGACTGTGTGTGCCCGTGTGTGCATCCAACTCAGTCCCATGTTTGTGCACAAAGTCCCCCGCAGGTGCCTGGCCATGTGTCCTACAGCCCCCTCACTTGCATGCTTGCTGGGCTACACCCGCTGGGCAGCAGATGCAGTGGGGGAGGGGAGAGTCTTAGCTCACACATCCAAGCAACACTATGAGCTGTTGCTTCCAGCTTATCTTAAAATAGCAACAGCTGAAGAAACCAGGCCACACAGGGCCCTGGGGGAGGGATGGATGGAAGGTGGCGGGGGAATGGCTCAGAGCCCCTACCCAACCCTGTCCCTGAGCCTCATTCTCCCTTCAGCCCAAAGGAGCCTCCAGAGTTGTCTCTGGGGTCCACATGCTCCACACAGAGCCTGACACAAGGGGAGGAGAGAAAGATAAATGGGTGACTGAGTGTCCTGCCTACCTCTCCACCCCATCTAGTCCAAATCACGGAAATGCAGGGGGCTGCCAGGTGCTGGGGAGAAGAGTGTGGAAAGCCCTGCTCCCCCTCCACACCCAGATTCAAGCTGTGATGATGGGGGGGGGGTGTTGGATTTTACCCTTCCATCTTCATCCTACTGCCAAGGCACTTCAAATAAACAATTTAATTAAAAATTCTGGTTGCACTGCCAACAGAGCATAGTTTTTCTCCAATCCGCCAAAAGCTTCCCAGGGTAGGAATTTGAGGACATAACCAGCTGCCCTCACCGGCCCTGTCCCTTCTCTGTCCATAGCCAGAGGAAGTGGCCCAAGAAGCTGCTGAGGAGCCGTTGATCGAGCCCATGATGGAGCCAGAAGGGGAGAGCTATGAGGAACCACCCCAGGTGAGGGGCATTAGGGCTGGGTGGGGCTTTGTGCATCCCAGAAGATTGCTGCTATCCACAACTGGGTGGGAGTTCCCTGATAGGATAGGGTTGGACCAAGCAACTTCAGGTTCCTCTTATTAGAACTCAGGCCCCAGGAACTGGCAGCTGGGGGAGAAGATAGATGGGGCTAGCACTAGATACCCCTGCCCAGGGGGAGGGGCATGCACTTTTCCTCCCTGAGGGGTTGGAGTATCAGGGCCAGGGCCTGGCCACTTGGTTTCCAACCCCATCCTCTTTTGCTCTTCTCCACTCCACCCCCTATCCCTCTTATGCAGGAGGAGTATCAGGAGTATGAGCCAGAGGCGTAAGGGCCCAGGATGGCCCCCCCACCAGCAGCACAATCCTTTCCCTGTCCCCTAACCTACCCCCCAGAGCCAGGGCTGTCCTTCTAACCCATCCCCACAAATACGAGATCTTCCTTCGCCCCGAGGAACCTCCTTGAGGCTTGTGTTAGTGTCTGTCCATCTGTCTGTCCTCACCTTAGTACAACCCTGGGGCGTGACCAGGGCAAGGGGCTGGAGCCAAAGCTGGGAGCCTGGCCACACCTCTGTTGCCCCCTCCCTGCCCCATCTGGTCCAGTGTCTGCGAGGATGTAGCATGTTTTATGTGTTTTTAAATGAAGATCGGAAAGCGACGTCTCTCCATACCCACCCCGATGGAGGCTCTCCGAGGGGCTCCCGGGCAGCCCCAGAGCCCTCCACCCCATTCCCATATCGACCCCAAGAACCCTTTTTTTTTTTTTAAACCAAAACCAGGAGCCAGGCTGTGCCATTACCCCTCCCCCAGCCTGCCCCGTTCGAGCGCGGGCCTTGCGTGTTGTGATTGTGGCATGGAGAGTTCCCCACCCCGTGTGAGCGTGTCCAGGGTGGGCGGGCCCGGCCGCCCCCCGCGTGTCCATGAATAAAGCCAATCTGTCTGTAGCCGGCGCCGCAGGGGCAGGGTGGGGCTGGGTGTCCGGTGCGGGCCACCACCGATGAGCTTCCAGGTCCCAGCCTGTTCTTTGGGGCCTGGAACACTCAATCCCAGTACAAGACTGACCACCCGGGGTCTCAGCTTCTCCAGTCTCCTACCCTCGGGGGGGATGACCTGGTGGGAGTGGGTGCCCCCAAAACCGGACAAGCAGTTGGCGGGAGGCAGGAAGGTGGCGCCGCCTGCTGGACTCTAAAGCGCCCGCTGGGGTGCAGGTTCAAGGGGGGCCCTGCGCCGCCCTAAGGCAGAATAGAAGGGCTCAGAACTCACACGCAGCGCAAGCGCGCGTGGCTGCACACGCGTGGCTCTCAGTGCACACATCATGGTCATGAGCGCCAGCCCCGTATCAGCACCCGGCACACGCCCACGTGCAGACATGAGTGCACGCACACTGGCCGGCGCCTGCAGGCGGGCGCGCGCGCTCAGAGTTGCACACGCGCCGCGGCGAAGCCCTAGGACAACAGCAGCGCGGGCACTGGAAGACGCTGTCCGTGCAGGACGCCTTCGCGCGCGCACACCCTGCGCACACCTTCCCGACGCAGGAAAACCCAGCCCCGGGGAGGGAAAATGGAAGGCGGCAAAGCTCCCGCAACCAGCGCACCAGCCCTTCCAGAAATGCGCTCGAAGGTTTGTCCCCTTCGGCTGGGGTGGGCGAGGGTCCGCATTTATCTGGGCAGTCGGCCAGGGGCCTCGAGCGGATCAGGATAGGCACTAGGGGGCCCCCAACGCCGTCTGGAAGCGGGGAGCGGGGGCGGAGACGCCGCGGCTCTTCGAGAGGCCCCGCCGCGGTCGCATGAAGGCGCTGCTCCTATTCGCGCAGAAGGGCCGCCCCGGAGCCGCACCACGCCCCACCGGTGCCGCGCGCCCGCCCGCCTTTGCCGCAGCGCCCCTCGCAAGCCCGGAGGCCCCGCCCCCGCCGCTGCGGAAACCCCGCTTTGCTTCGCCGCAGGGGTCCCTCCAACCTCGCCCGGGCGAGCTCCACCGCTTTTCTGCTTCGGTCCCACCTCCTTTCTGACAAAGCCCAGCGTCCGCCTCCAGCCCTCGGGCGGGAAGGAGCCGGCTCCCTTCGGCCCGTCGCCCGAGCGCTAGCGCCGCCGCCTTCCCCGCTGCAGAGGGGCGGGGGGTCCGGCCTTGAACGCTGCGGGACACTGGTCCCCTCGGGTCCCCTAATCCTGCGGTGCAGGAACCTTTATTTCCCAGCTGGCAGGCGTGTGTGTAGGGAGAAAAACCCGATGTCTTGTATTCTCCCTGACTCAAGGAACGAGTGTGCCAGGATCTTCAGATCCCTTGTGGCTGAATTAAGACTCTAGTTACAACCCGCAGGGCGCGGGGATTGCATACTCGTGGCCCTCGGGTTGAATTTCACCGAGAGAGTTGTTTAATTTTGCCAGGATGAGGTTTAATTTTTTTTTTTTCATTGATTCCACTTGGCGACAATCCCTTTCCCTCACTATTGTATTCCACCCGTCCACCTTACTCATTCTCATGCACTGCCTGGCCACTAAAGAATTTGAGTTTGCCACCTCACCTCCAGCTACCAGCACCTGATCCCCCGGTTTGCTACTCAAACCAGGTTTACCATCTGGTGGGCGAGGAGCCTTATTCTTCCTTCCTGTGTGCCAAGCCACACGCCTGGTTTTCTGCTCAGAGACCAATGTTCTCATCTCCGAGGGATCACTTTAAATGCATTTGAGGCACAGGTCCAGAAGCGTCGTCAGCGGGAGATGCCAGCCCTGAGTCAGAAGGAGGCCAACCAGGTGCTGGTGCCAGAACATACAGCCCCAGGGCTCCTCCCTCTAGCAGGACCCAAGGGTTCCTCACGTGCCCAGTATGTCCCAGGCACCAGACCCTCTCCTTTGATGCCACTTGAAACTGCCTTCAATGCTTCCTTGTTTTTAGCCCCAGTTTGTGAAAGAGAGACTAGACACCAGAGAGGTGAGATTACCTGCCTAAGTCATGTGACCGGCAAAGGGGCTTGTTCAAAGGGGAGACAAACAAACAAACAAAAAAAAAAAAACAAGCAAAAAAGCAAACAAACAAAACACCAAAAACCCAACAGCAGGAAATGATAGAGGCAGCAGATTGGCATGCACAGAACTTGTGCAACTTCACAGACTTTACAAGTGAGCTGGGGGAGGGGCAGGCTGTGTGTGCCCACTTACCTTACTATGTTAGTATCTGTGTTCATGGGGGTTGCCCACATGTGTGCAACACATTCTCTGATGAAACTCGCATCCCATGTATCAACAAATACTTGGAACAAGATACTTTTGAGTTTTATGAACATGAAACAAGGTGAGGTAACAAGGAGGAGGTGATGGCCAGCATTAAATCGGGGTGACCAGGTCAGGCATCTGAGACCAGGCTGGAGCTGAAATCTGAATGATGAGCAGGTGGCTGGGAAGACATGGGGAGAGCAATAGAGCAAGCCAGAGCGCAAGGGTTACAGAGCAACCCCCCACCTCTGCACCAGGTGTGTGGTCAGAGAGGCTGAGCATGGCCAGGCCACCCAGATCCGTGGGCCCAGCCCTGACTCTCCTGGCTCACCCCTTTCCTTCCTCCTTGCTCTTTCCTCCATCTGGACAGTGCTCGGCTCTGCCTGCTGAAATGTGTCCCTCCTCAGAGCTTTCCCTAGTCCCTCCATCAGAAGTGAAGCCGCCTCTCCACCCCCTGCCCCATGCTGCTCAGCTGTGCACACAGAGACCCCTACCCCACTCAGGTCAGCGCTCTGTCTGGCTAACCTGGATCCAGCTGTCTCCCCCTGATGAAGGGCTGGGGGCTGTCCCTGTGTCCACACCATCTGCTATCTCCCTCCCGGCCTCCCTACCCCCACCTCCCTGGTAATGTGGCTCCACAGCTTTCTCTGGAACTTTATTTTTGTTTTCTCCTTTCCCTATTTATAGCTCTCTCCCCTCAGAGCCATCCCTGCATCCATCCTGTTGCCTAGAAACCAGCTCTGGGCTGAGGGTGGGGGAAGGCCAGGCCAGCCCAGGCAAGGGAAGAAAGAGCTGTCACCCACTCCCCCTCTCAACACCACCCCCAGGCTCCCAGAAGCCCACCCCACTCTCTTCCCAGCACCCCAATGTGTTTTTTGAAAGATAAAGCAAAATGTATGAAAAACAACAGCCTTGGGGAGTCCTTCACAGCTTCTAAAGGGCAGGAAGCATGTGATTTCCCTCAGGCCTCTCCGTAGCCTACCCTGCGGGAAGCCTGGACCCAGTTTTTCAGATGAGGACTCTGAGGCTCGTGAAGGAAAGGTCCCACGGTTAGAGTCTTCTCTCTACAGACTCCTCTGCTCCCAACTTGTTCGCCTTGGGATATTAGCCCAGAACTGAAAAGAAATGTTAAAAGCACAAATACTTGCATAATCCATGTATTGCGGTAGGGTAAAGGGAAACATTTTGTCATGACCCTGCTAGTCCCCATCCTGCAACCTTGTCTCTACCATACCCTCTGCTGTGCCACTCCACCCTGCCCTTTGGTGCCCCATCAATGGTGCAACTGCGGCCCCAAGTCCCTGGAGTGCCATCGTGCCTTCACCATGGCCTTCCATGCCAAACCCGGTTCCCCACTCCATGCCCACCAGGCCTAACTGCATCTCAACTCCAGCCCTCAGGCAGGCAGCGCAGCTAGCTTCCTCAGTCTGTCATATCAATGGTGTGACCTTGGATAATATACATAAAAGTGTATTATCGGGGCCAGTAAGAATTGAATGTGGTAATGATAAGGAAGTGATTTGAAAGCTGCAAATTACAATAGTTTGCGAGTGATCAGTTGGAATAGTTAATGTTATCAGGCCAAGAGGGGGAGCAGGGAGCCACAGCAAGTCCTGGGGTCACAGAGGGAGCCCTTGTGCCATCTCTGCAGAGGATCCCTTTGCCTGGTAGAACGAGGGGCATTGCCTGAGAGCATCTGCAGGCAAAAGGGAGGGGAGGGGACAGAGGCACTCCAGTGACTGACTCTTCCTCCTCGAGCACTCCATCACCTCACTGCCCTTGTTCTCTATGCCCCCACCCCAAGGCCTACCTCTGCCTTCAAAATAGGCTCTCTAAACAGAATGGGGGAGAGGGCTGCCAAGGAGCAGCTGGGCCATGATTCAGCCTGAGTCACCCATCCAAATCCCAGGGCCGCCCCCAGCTGGACCAGGGCCTGCAGCTGCTAGGGAGAGGGACATGTGGAGAGCGAGGGAGGGGACCTGTTGGGTACCAGGCTGTGCTCATATGTGCCCAGGCCAGGGGCCCTCATGGATCTCAGGGAAACGCTGTGAGGGGCTGGGAGTTGTGCATATAAAGAGATCAAGTGGAGACAGTGACCCCATCTACAGCAGTTATCTGGGCTGACTGAGGAACCAGGTGTTCATGTGGTGTATGCATGTGTGAGTGTGTGCATGAGTGTTTGTATGTGCCCACACATGCAAGGGGTGTTGCTCTGAGTACATGAAGAAAGGCTAATGGTATAATAGTGGGGGCTGGTGTTTGCTGCCCAACTTTGTCACTTCCTAGCTGTGTGACCCTGACAAAGTTACTTAACCTCACCAAACTTCTTTTCCCTCACTTATGAAATGAAAATAATAATAACATCCATTTCAAATGGTTTTCCTTAAGGATGAAATGCAATAAGATAATGCAGTAAAACACTTAATCAATCAGTAAGCAATGCAGCCCCATTCTTATCATTTTCTGGGGTATATCAGATTACAGGTTGCATGCATGAGGATGAATACTGAGTGTTAGTATTCAGGGGTGTATCTGTGTAAATCTCAGGGGTGGGGGAAGGTCTAGGTGAGTGTTTCTTGAAGGAGTAAATGAATATTTGCTATGTGTGCATCTCTGATGCCAACTTAAGAACTTTCCAGAAAGTTGGGTTTATATGACATTGCATGCCATAGGATGCCACTCTGCCCTTCTACCCAACCCCCAGTATCTCTCTCTCTCTCTCTCTCTCACACACACACACACACACACACACCAAAATCCCTAGTGTCAGTGATTTGCTGGAATTTGGCAATGACTCAGACCAGTGTCAAAGCAAATGGACAAGGAACCGTGGATGTTGCTGTACTGAGAATCTCGGTCCTTCTCAAAATCTTTTAGCCACAATTAAAGCTGGATTGTGGGTAACTGGCTAGACCCCCAGGGTGGGTGTGTCTGGGTGAGAAGGGGAATTGTGTGGGACACAGTGGCCATGAACATAAGAGAGAGCATTGGATTCATGTGTGTGCATGAAGCATGTGTGTGTACATGTGTGCAGGGGTGGTGTTGGGGGGTGGCTGCTGTCTCTGCTCTAGTACAGTCTGCTTGTCTCCATGGTGCCTGTTGCCACACACGCTTGCTTTTCAGAAAATCACTGGGATTGTTTATTCCACCCCCAGCCTGGGTGCCAGCCAAGGAGCTGCAGGCGCTTGTTTATCTTCTGGTGTGTACGAGTGTGTATGGTTCCCTAGACATGGGCCAGCCCGAGATATGTGTGCACACACACTCACAGGGGTGTGGGTGACCAGGTTGGTTATCACCAGATGATAACTAAACCCCAGATGAGACTGAACCCCAGATGATCCACAACCTGCACCCAGGCAGACATTCCCATCTGGGGCAAAGATGATCCCCCCAGCAGCTCCAGGCAGATACCCTACAGATTTAGCAATCTTCAAAGCTCCAGGAAAGTGTGAGTGCCAGTTGCCCTGGCTGCATCCTGTGCTGCACCCCCACCCTTGGAGCTAATTACTGCACAGTGATTGGCCATGCCTGGATCACTGCCAACCCCTGAAGAACTGAGGGACTAGAGTGGGGAGGTACTTCCCCAACGAAAATGAAGGTGCTGTGATCAGAAACGGATACATAGTGCTGGGCTTGCCACTACCCTCGTGTCCACCAGAGTGCTACACTATGCCAGGTGTGTAGTGTGGTTTGTTGTTTTGTCCCTGCATCCTCCTGGGAGCAGAATTTCTCCCGTGAAAGAGAGAGCACCGGCTTCATGTGTGTTCTTGGAGCATGTGTGTGTACATGTGTGCTGGGGGGTGTTGGAAGTGGCTGCTTTCTCTGCTCTCAATTTCATGTTCTCTGAAGAAGGTGACACTCAGAACTTCATCAAGGCCACAGAGCAGGTAACTAGCAAAGCTAAGAGCTGAACCCACAATGACTGCCTCCATGCCCTTTCTGAGCTCCCATTCTGCTTTAGTGAATGTTTGGTTTTACTGTCTACATATTTTTAAACATGTTTTAATAGTGAACAATCCCCTATGGAAAAAAGTGATTGAGTGCGGGCAAAAGGCACAAATAGGAAGAGGCCCTGACCATGCCCACACTGCAGATACAGTCAGAGCCTGACCACACCCCCTAAGATTGCCCTTGTCCTTTCTGTTCCTGCAGCAGCCAGTACCCAGCTTTGTCAAAGAGCTGTTCTCAGCCTGCGGAACCCACTTTGCTAAGTACACTGTGAGCCAGAAATGTCTAAGAATTAATGCACAGCTCACTGGTCAACTCCACCAATGTCTGCCAGGTGCTGGGATATAAATACACCAGTCCCCTTGGTCTTGGCCAAGGAGAATTCTGAGATGTGCATTTGCCTCATTTCTCAAGACTGCCTGCAGAACTAAGCTTCACTCATTCACTGGGGTATCTGACTTAAACACCTCTTATCGGATGCCTTCCATGCCTGGATCACCTTCCCACTCTCTTGCTAGTGTTCCTGCAACTCTGGAGCCACATTCCCTCAGTCTTCATCACAGTGTGTGTGAGCTGCCCCAGGGTATGGGATCCCATTCTCTCCTTCTACCCTGAGCATCTGGGCCCAGTCATTTTGCTCTTCCTTCCTGGAATCTTCCCCTTTCTCCCATTAGTGTCTCTATCCCATCAGTATATAAATGCTTCCAAGGCATTTAAGTTTCCAAAGAGGAGACATCTTAACCTCCTGTCCCCCTGGAGAGACTATTACGTCTCCTTTCTTTCCCCAAACCCAACTTGTGAGAGTTGTCCATTAACTCTCTCACTTCCTTACTCCCATTTACTCATCAATATCCAGTCCCCAGGTCAGGCCTCCACCTCCACTACTCCACTGATTATGCTTTCATCAAATTTCCATTATCTTCTTTTGAAGCCCAGAGACTACCTCTCTGGCCATTTCTTGTCTTCCTAATGTGGTTAACTCTGCCATCTTTCTGGAACATTCTCTCACCTGTCTTCAGAGACATCACACTCTTCTGGTTTCTCAGACACTGTTTCACAATCTTTGCAACCTCCTTTTCCCAGTTGGTGTCTTAATGTTGGTGTTCCTTAAGTGGACCCGGGGCCCTGTCTCACCCGGTATGGTTTATACTACTCCACCATGTACCAACAACATATTTTCCATCACCAGTTTCCTGGTTTGTCACCAGTATTGGCCACTCCAGACTCATCAGGTATCTGTCCTTCTCCAACAGGCTCACCAAGGCAGAACCTCAGAGATGTAGCAAAATCCAATCATCCCTCATACCTACATCCACCCTATGGCCAAAGCCTGTTGATTTTACCCCTAAATACAAAATCAAACCTGGCTCATCCCAACTAAAGCTGCCATAGTTGTGGCATATCTCAGCTACACAGCTGCCACAGCCTCCGCACTCCTTATCCAGCTTCACCCTGCACAGAAGGGGCTTTTTATTTTTTCATTTTTTATTAACTTTTTTATTTTCTTACATCATCATTTGTTTTTGTACAGTATTTGATTTCTCCCCTCAGGTGTAGTCCTCATAAATCTCCCACCACCACAGCACCTGTGAACTGTCACCATGGTCCCTGGTGCTCTTTCCTCCCCTGTTTTGATCCCTCTCCCTCCCCCTCTTTTGCTGTATGCCTCAGATCTGTAGTTTCTTGCAAGTGTTGTTGTTGTTTGTTTTTTTATCCTTTGTTTGGTTTCCCTATATTCCTCCTATTAGTGATATCATCCAATATTTTTCTTTTTCCTTCTGACTTATTTCACTGAGCATAATGAGAGGAGGATTTTCAGATCACAGGCTGGTTCTTGCCACACTCCAAGTCTCCATGTCTTCATCTGTAGTATAGGGCTAGTAATGTTTACCTGGAAGGGCTGTAGGGGGAATAACATGAGACAACGGATGTGGAAGAGAGTTTGTAAACTAGGATCCTCTGTCCTGATGTGGGTGTTGTCCGTGGTGCTGAAAAATTCGTCACTCACTCTGGTTTTCTCCTTCCATGGAAAACTGCCTAAAGACGCCGGTTCGATAGATTTTCATCATTGTCATCTAGACTTTTTTAAGAATTAAAATTAAAAAGATCATGGTGACTTATGATTCACCTGGTGAGAGAAATAGAAAGTAAGGGTTTAGGGTGTCGGGTTTCAGAGTGAAACATCACCACTATTAATTGTGTGGCTACAGAAAAGTGACTTATGAGCACTCCGTTTTCTAACCTGAAAAGTGAGGATATATTAATAGTCACTTGCTCCTAAGTGTTTGGAAATTGAAATTAGATGAAACCTGTAAGCAAAAATTTATCACAGTGTCTGCCCCTAAATAAGTGTTACATTAACGTTAGTTGTTCCCATTTTTAGCGGGTGGTTTCACAAGTACAGACAAGAGGGTGTTTATTACCTGTAGGCAATTACAAAATTATTTTTTTCTCCTCTGGAAAATCAAAGCGGGGGGCGGGAGGGAGGACTATTTCCCTGCCAGGAAAGGCCGAGGGGGAGTGGGCAGCGAGTCCTCATGTTCTTGGCAATTCAGATTAAACTGGAAGTCCCTGAACACCTACTTGAGGCTCCTGCATCCTTCCAAGACAATGGCGAGGTCTTAACATTAGTCCCATTTTACAGATCAGAAAACTGAGGTTCAGAGAGCTGAAATGACTTGCTAGAGGGTCCCGGGGGCGAAAGCCAGGCTTCCACAGAGAGGGTGGGTGGGGACCCCGGCTGGGGGCACACTTGTCTCGCTGCCCCCTCCCCCCACTCGCGGGACCCGGGTGGCGAGGAGACAAAGGGGCGGGGGCGGGGCGCGCGGGGCGGCCGGAAGTGCGGCCCGGGCGGAGGCGGGAAATTTCTGCGCCGGGAGCGCTGAGATCGCGCTGACCTGGGTCCCCACACGGCCGCCGTCTGTCCCCGGCCAAGCAGCGTCCCCTCTGTGAGCCGCGGTTCCCTCTTCTTAAGACAAGCAAAGGACCTCCGCGGGGCTGGATTACGACCTGGGCGACAGCGCGTTCCGCTCTCGACAGGCGCGCGGCCTCTTCGCCCTCAGCCTCCTCGTCTGCGAAATGGGGGCCCGAGCGAGGGGGGCGGAGAGCCCAGGGGCCGCGGGGCCGCGGTGAGGGGCGACGGGCAGAGGGCGCCCCTCGCCCTCTCCCGGGCCCGGCCGCGCGCCCGGCACCGCCCCCTCCTCGGCCCGGCGGCCGGGACTCGGCAGCGCGCATGCCCGGGGCGGGGCGCGGGGAGGGAGCGCGGAGCCGGCGCGGGGACGGCGGAGCTGAGCCCGCGGGTCCGCCCGCCAGCCCGGCCGTAGGCACCCGAGGCCGCTCGGGCGGTGGCGGCGGCGGGAGCTGGAGCGCAGCGCGCCAAGGAGCGGGAGCGGCGGCACGACCAGGTAAGCGCCGCGCCCGCACCTGCACCCCTCCAGGCAGACGGCGTCGACCCCCTGCCTCTGCTCGCAGCGACCCTGCAGCCGCTGTCCCAGGTCCTCGAACCGCCTGTAAGGCGGGGATGGGGGTCCGCGCGGCGTGTGCCAGATGTCCGCCCGGGTGTGTGTGTTGGCGCGCGCGGCTGGGGGCGCGGGTGTCCATTTCCAGTTCCCTCGCCTGGGCGGGGCGCGGCGGGGGCGGGTCCCACATCCCCGTCCGAACGCCCGAGGGACCCTGCGGTCCAAGATTCCCGGTGTGTAGGACCAAGGTCCCTCGCCCCGCCTGGCCGCGGCGGCTTTGTTCCGCAAGTCCATGCGGGAGGGGGAGCTTCCCGCCACCGCGGGGAGGGGGTCCGCCGCGTTGATTCATCTGCCCCCTGGAGCGAGCTAAGCGCTGGAGTGGCTCCACTCGCACCACCAAGCACACTCGCCGTCACACACTCACTGTGGCACACACTCTGGAAGACCGTCCATACACTGTCACACTCACCTTGTGAGGTCTGCGTGAGCGCGCGCGTGCACACACACACACACACACACACTGTCGCCCTTGGTCACTCCCAGATTCATACACACAGCCACCTGTGCACCCACCCAGCACCCCAAGTGGGAACCTTGTGTACACACCCAGACATAGCTACGCACTCACACTGGCCATCACCTATCAACTCAACAGTACCCTCTGATCACAACACACAGACACCCTACTCTGGCTTCTTTGTGTCTGTTCACACCTGCTCATGATGCCTCTTTTACCCCCAGGCCCTGGAGTAGGTTGTCACACTCTCACACACTCTGTCCCTCACCTTGGCCACCTCCCTGCCCACACTCAACCTAAGTGTGCATGTCCCTATATGTCCATCCTTACCCTCTCATGGATGGCTAGATAGTCTGGGGGTCTTTTCAAAAAGAGGCCTGGTGAGGAGCAGCAAATTGGGATTGTCAGATCCACACACAGACACTCACACTTGCCGAAGCCCTTTGCTGCTTTTGTCACCAAGGGAGAAAGTGTTTGCAGATGACTGGCAGTCCTGACTCTCCAGTAGGAAGAAATTCTAGGGGGAATGGATTGGACTGGCCAGGTCTCTGGGTCTGCTTGGGCATTCCCAGGGGCTGCTCTACTTGGGAGTGGGGCACAAGTACCTGTGCACACACCCAGGCCAGTTCTCCCATCAGTGAGACCACAGCATGTACACACTCAGAGGGTCTAAGTGACCCCAATAAGACCCAAACACAAAGCCCATTCTGCCCATACAGGTTGCACATGTGCACCTGCTCTTGAGCAACACTCAGGAGCCAGAGCCTGGCTCCCAGGCTGGCCTAAGCTGGCACAGATGTCTCCAAGCCATCTCCACATTCCTCTGCTTGCCAGGTGAGCTGGCCTACACACCAAAGGGTCATTTCAATCTTTTACCCATTGGAATGCACACGTTGCAGCATACGTCACTGCATGTATTTCTGCAGGTGGGTATGTGCATGTGGGGACACTCTCTTCCTCTCTAGGGGATCGGGAGGACCCTTGGCCAAACCCCAAAGAGCAGAAAACAGATTTAAAACCAAGCATCAGTATCCAAAGTCTTAGCTGATATGAGTGGGAAGAACAGAGACTTTGGGCTCAGACACAGTAGGTTTTGAACTACAGTCCCAGCCCAGGTGTGTGCCCTTAGTCAACTCTTTTCTCCTTCTGATCTGTGCCCTCATTTATAAAATGAGACCTGGTGATAAAATGAGCCTGGAATGTTGGACTGAGTACACAGTGAGATAGTGATGGAATAGGGTTTTAGAGGGAGGGTTGAGGGTGAGGAGGTGGTGTTCTAGGCCTGGAGGATCTGGAAGATGCCTAGGTTTCCTTGAAAGCTGGGAAAGGCTGGCAGAACTATGAGCAGTAGAGCCTCCGGGAATATGTGCCTTGGCAGATCTTAAACCCAGAGCTGGACCAGCTTTTCCAAATATAACAATATTCCCTCCCCGCCCCCCCCCCCGCCCCTCTCACAGATTGGGTAACTGAGGCCCAGAATGTGAAAAAGCTCACCCAGAGTCATGGAGCAAGTCAGTGACTAACGTGAGTCTTCACCCCACATCTGTCTAACTCCCTGGTCAGGCTCTCATATCATTCTTACCCTGAGGTTTTTTTTTAAGATTTATTTATTTATGCATACAAGAGCTGGGGCACAGGCCAGAGGTGTGGGGAGTGAGAGGATTTACCAGAGACAGAGTGGGGAACAGAACAGGCAAATTGACCGAAGTACACTGCTGAGGGGAGCAGCAGGCGAGACAGGAGAGGTCTGCTGCACCATGTGGATTGCTCCCTGGCTGGCCGGGGATCGAACTCATGCTGCAGAGGCTGCAGACAGCTTCATAGGTTGCGTCTTAATCCCTTGCGCCACCAGGGAGGCCCCTTACCCTGAGTTTTACATCACATCAAAGAACTTTGAGTGCCTCCCTGGTGGTGCGAGGGGTTAAGATGCAACCTATGAAGCTGTCCGCAGCCTCTGCAACATGAGTTCCGATCCCCCGGCCAGCCAGAGAGCAACCCACATGGTGCAGCAGACCTCTCCTGACTTTGCCCGCTGCTTCCCTCAGCAGTGTACTTCAGTCAATCGGCCTGTTCTGTTCCCCACTCTGTCTCTGGTGAATCCTCTCACCAAGACCCTCCCCCCACCTCTGGCCTGTGCCCCAGCTCCTGTATGCATAAATAAATTAATCTTAAAAAAAAAAAAAAGAACTTTGAGCTGAGAACTGAGAAACCAGCCTCTTTTGGTGGGGGGTAGGTGGAAGGGCTTTTGGAAGGGACATGTCACCAGCTGGGCTATGCCTGTCTCTCAAAACCTCAGTTCTCTCCTCTGGAAGATAATACAGACCTGCCTGGTGGGTGATTGGGGGTCCATATGTAGGAAGAATAGTAAGGGTTGGTCTATGAGAGATCCCTTCCCACCTTTTTCAGTAGCTAGGTCAAAGATCAAAACTCCCAAGTGGCTACAGGCCAGACAAATAACATACATTGAGGGGCGGCCTATGAGAAAAACGACAGGGCAAATTCAGTTAGCAGCAGCAGCAGGCAGACATCATAGGGAAAAGTGGAGAGTGTGGCTAATCGGAGTGCACACCCTTATCTAAAGAGGCAGCCACAACTTGCTCTAGTGCCATACAGAAAACACACTCAAATTGCCAAATTTTAGTTTTCCAGGAGGAACTCCAAGCCTGGTTTTTGCATGAAATCTCATTTTTAAATGATATTTAAATGATTTTAAATGATCTGTTCATTCCTTTAAAAAAAATTTTTTTTGGTAGCACTCTGGGTCAAGCAAACATGTCTAAGGCATAGATTTTTACCAGTTTGTGCCTCTGCTACAGGCCTTCCCTCCCTACCCCCTCCTGAGAGCACAGCTGGGCTCTGACAGGCTGAGGAGATAACAACAGGCCTTCCATGTACACAGCCCGGCCCTAAAGTGAGCAGAGCCACGCACACCCCTCATCTTCTTTAATTCTCATAGCAGCCCTGTGGGAGCAGGGGATGTCTTTGTCAGGGCCCCCAGCAAAGAGAAGAGACTTGCCCAAGGACCCAGAGCTGGTAAGTGGAGAGCTGTCCTGACTTCCTACACAGTCTCACCCAAGGAGGAGGATGCTGGTTAAAGAGATTGGTGTGAAGGGGACCCCAGAGCTGGGCTGCCAGGGGTGAAAGGAGGACTCAGAATCCCCATCTTACTGGCCTTGCTGACTCCTTCCAGCTTCAATCCAAGCTCCTTGTCCACCCACCAGGCAGCAGTTGAGTGCCTGTTTTCCAGAGGAAGAAACTGAGGGCCTGAGAGGCAGACTTGGCCAACACATCCCAGCCATCACCAGAACCTGGGCCCTTTCTCTTGTCTATCTATATGACATCCTTTCCCACAACCCTATGACCAGCTAGATCAGAGGTTACAAGCAAAAGACCTAGGGGTCAGAGTTGTTTCGCAATGGGGTTTTCTTTGGTCTGTGCGGTATTTGAAAAATTAGCCAACATTTAAAATATAGGGAGAGGGCCTCCCCAGTGGCGCAGCGGTTGAGCGCTGGGTTGCGAAGCTGCCCGCGGCCTCTGCGGAGCCGGTTTGATCCCCGGCTGCTCCCCGGCCACCGGAGGAGGGTCCCACATGGCGCGCAGACCTCTCCTGCCACCTGCTGCCCCCCTCAGCAGTGTACCTCGGTCCTTCTGCCTGCTCTGTTCCCCGCTCTGGCTCTGGTGAATTCTCTCACCCTCCCGCACTTCTGACTGTACCCAGTGCATGTATAAACAAAACAGGCAAATAAATAAATAAATAAATAAATAAATAAATAAATAAATAAATAAATAAATAAATAAATAAATAAATAAAGCATGCCTCTATAAAAAAATAATAATAATAAAATATAGGGGGAAAAATCATGTATGACTTTGCTCATGAGACCTGGATACACAGGAAACACACTTCCCCACATGGAACACTCCTGGGGATTCCTAGTTCCCCCTCTTCCCCTATGACCCTGCATGATAAGCACCTACCTCTTTTCTACTTGCCTTCTCCCTCTCCCTCTGCCCCTTCCAATTCCACTCCAGCCACTGAGGGCTTTGGCTGACAGGCTCCTGAGAGGAGCCCTTATCAGCTCTACATCCAAACCAGTTACCCATTCCTTTGTCTTCACAGCAACTGCTATTACTTGCTTACTTGTTTGTTATTCTCTCCCCAGTCTCTCCATACCTGGAAGGCAGGGGCCATGGATTTCTTATGCACTGTTGTAGCTCCAGTACCATGGACAGTGCTCTGTGCTCAGTAAAGGTTGAATCAGTGACTAAAACGCCTAATTGGCCAGGTAGTGAATACCAAGTGCAGCTTTAAAAGGGGCTAGTACTCTCCAGTTTGACACACTCCCACCATGCCCTTTAGTCTCCCTTGCTTGCTCTGTTGTTTTTCTTATGGGAAAATAAAATTTATCTGTGCTCATGTCACTATCAAAAGGCAAAAAATTAAGACAGAACCAGGCTACACCACTCACATCTGATGCCTACTTGACCCTCTGGGAAAATGATCTTCCAGCTCTTCATGTTTATGCTGCTGAAAACCAGATCCAAAGAATTCTGGCCAGACCGCTTCTGTGCTTCACAACTGTCTCCAGCTGCCTCCTAGGCATCCCCCTACAACTCTCACAAGCACCCAATTCAACTTCCCAAAACTGAGTGCCCAACCATCCTCTGCAAAACTTCCCCCATCCCCACTTTGATAATGACCCCCACCTCCAAGTCTCATAAGTCCCTAAAGCCTAGGAGATCCAGTGGCAAACAGTATCAGCTCAATCCCCATCCTGGGACCTGAGGTCTAAGTGACAACCCAAAGGTGTAAAAAGTACATGCAGTGACATAAGATTCACTAGGAGGACATGAGGCCATGGGAACCCAGAGGAAGATGGGGGGGCACAGAAGACTCACTGGAAGAGGAGGTATTTATATTGAGAACTGAAGGTTTAATGAGAGCCATCCCAGAGGGTGTGCAGAGGCCGAGAGGGGAAAAAAGGCACAGCCGTGGAAGAATAAAAAGATGTTATACACATGGTGTATGTGTGTGTATCCATTTTGGGGGAAGGGAATATGTAATGAAAGATAAAGCCCACCCAGCAGGTAAATACACAGGGCAAGGGAAGGGGCTTGGAACACATTATACAACTGGACTTGACTCTAAAGTGTTCCCACCCCCTGCCATTTTTTTAAAAACAGTGTGCATGCATCACCCTAGTGCAAGCATCAAAAAAGGACATATTAAAAAAAAGTCTCTTCCACCTCCAGAAACTTGGTCTCACTTCCCAGAGGCAATCACTGCTATAAGTTTCGTGGGTCTCCTTCCAGAAATTTTCTCCTTATAAATAAACCTATAGATGTGTTTGTCCTTGTCCTTAGCTGTATTCATGAGATCCCACTGCCCATGCTGTCCCCTGACCTTTTTCACCTAATTTATCTTGAGCATCTGTCTTCATTCTCCACAGCCTAAAATAGCTGTGTGTAGTGGGGGTGGCATGTATGGGGTTGTTCTGTATCTCACAAACCAGCTTCCTGGCTTCCTTCTCATGGCCTGCTATGTCCTCATGCACCCTCAGTGCACCATCAGTCCATCTTCAGAACCCTCCCTGGAGGTGGGCTTGCTGGCTGAAATGCCACATGCATTTTAAATGATGGGTATAAATTGGTAAATGTCTTTTCAAAAAGATTGCAACCATTTACTTTGCTGGCAAGATTGAGGAGGATTTTGAGCAAAGCATGGTTGGATCAACATCTTAGAAAGATCATTCAGTCATTCACTTAACACATATTTATTGGGAGCTACTTGGTTACTACATGCTAGTCATTGTCCTTGACCTTGAGGATCCATAAGTAGACACAGCCAAGTCGCCACCCTCCTGGAGCTGACATTTTAATGACAGAGACAAATCATAAGCAATAAACAAATGTATGAAATATGTGGGATGGTGACAGGCACTATGAAGAAAAACTCAGCTAGGAAAGGGGGTGAAGGGTTCCAGCCAAAGTGGAAAGGAGGCTGTTTTATACACGATGGCTTGGGGAAAGTCTCAGGTGCAGATCATGCAACTATCTGGAGGGGAAGCATTGCAGGCAGAGGAAAGGACTAGTGCAAAGACCCAAAGGCAGCAGGAGCTCACCGATCAGCGAGGCAGCCAGTGTTGCTGATGCAGAGGAATTAAGGGTGAGTAGAAGGAGACTAGACCTAGAGAGGTGATAGGGCAGGAAGTGCAGGGTCTTGTGGGCCATTGTAAGGCAGTTACTTTACTTTGCCTGAGAGTGAGAGGTAATGCATGGCTCTGAGCAGAGAAGGGACACGATCAGCCTTGGGTTGATGAGCGGATGCTTGAACATGAATGCCAGGTGAAGGCGAAAACAGGGGTGACTCAGGTGGGAGATGGTGTAGGGTTAGCTCAGGGTAGTGGCTGATGCTGGATATATTTTGAATGTAAATGCACTGTGGGTGGACTCTGAGGTGTGAGAGTAAGGATTTTAGCCTGAGTACTGGTGAATGCTAATGAGAGGGCTTTGGAGAAGATGGGGGAGGAACAGGGTTTTGGGGGGAACTGAGAGCTTTGCTCCTGTTGGCTGCTGAATGTGTCATGAAAAAGAAATGCTCCTAGATGCAGCTGCCTTCCATACCCTTTCCACAGATGTCCCTACGCACCACATTCTTGGCTTGTCCCTCACACAACTCCCTCTTTCACCAGCTCTCCTGTCCAGTTCCCCAACCCTAGCCAGAATTCTTTGGACCACCCCCACAGGCCACCCTCAAAGTCCCTACAGCTGGCAGTTTCCTGTAAATTCCCTTAGAGTTCTCAATCTTTCCAGTTCTCCATCCCCAGAACCATCTCTATTCTGGGTTACTGCAGCCACTGCAGAGAAGGACTGGGTGAATGAATGAAGAATTGAATGAATGAGGGATTGAATGAATGACTGACAAGCTCCTCAAAGGTCTTGGTCTCTCCTCCAGCCCAACCTCCACACCCCCCAGGCAATTTTTGAAAAACATATGTATTAGCCTGTGTCCCTTCCTTGACTATAAACTGTTCACTGCTCCCCAAAGCTTACAGACAGCCTACAAACATGTTTTGTTTGGCCTACATAGTCTTGGTTTTATTTTGTTTTGTTTTTAATCTTGAGTTAATTAGGATATTTTCCATTAAAGTTGTGGATTTCCCTCTTCTTGCTGGTACTACTAGGATGCATTTCTCTAGAGCAGTGCTTGACTTGTGGAGTGCTGGCCCCTTCTTTACACAGGGCATGCACTCTCTGATTTGCTGTAGTCCCCACCACCCCTAATGTTTTACACAACCTGTTTCCATCACTTAAATGACCTATCTGCATCAGAGTTTGTGATCATGACTCAGAAACAAAAGCATTACTTCTGGGCATCATGTGTCATGGGGGGCGGGGGTGAGACGTGGCTGAGGGAAGGCTGATGGTAGATGAAGTTGAAAAGTTAGTAGCCAAGTTGTGAAGGACCTTGAATGCCATTTTGGGAAATCTGACTTTTATCCAGAGGAACACCAAGAGCAGTGAAGCGGGGGAGTAACATGGCTGGATTCATGTTTTTAGCCTAGGCCCTCTGGATAGGATGGGGGTGGGGGTGGGGGGCAGGCAGAGAACTCTATGAGGAGGCTGAGCTGCTAGGAGGGGAGAGGAGGAGACTTCCCCCTGCTGCTCTCCGCAGAGTCTGAGTCTGCTCTCTCTGTGTTTCAGAGCCAGACAGCAGCCTGGAGCCCAAGCACGATCATGAGGACAATTGGACAGTGTTGAAGACCCAGCCTGGCTCCAGTAGCTTCAAAAGGACTCCAGCTCCCCGAGATCCCAGTCCACAGCCCTCTGCTGCCCACAGGATGGGAGCCTGGGGGCAGGGAGCCTGGCCATGAGGGACTGCGACCCCTCCCAGCAGAAGGCCAGATCTGTACCTCCCAAGTACACTTCTGTGCAAGGCCCCAGCATGGACTCTAAATGCAGCAGCCCCAGTGGGGCCGGGGAAGGGACCTCCTGCTCTGAAGGCCCTGGTGGGAGCTTGGCCTGCCCCTCCCTGACCTGCATCCCTCCCCAAGAGGCAACGACCAAGGAGACACTGGGGGCAAATGAAGCCTTGATCTCTGGGATACCAGAAACCACCTTCTCTGGGAAGTCAGAGCCCATGCCCTCAGTGAAGACTGATCCCTCATCCTCAGAAAACAGAAATCCTATGTTCTTGGAGAAGATGGATTCCAAGTCTTCAAAGCTGGCACATTTGACTCCCATAGAAAAGGAAGATGCTGAGTCCTTGAAGAAGGCAGATCCCACATTCACAGGAAAGACAGAGCCTGCAACCTTGGGAAAGGGGGATCCGGTGGCTTCTGGGAGAATGGATCCTGTAGCCCCGAGAAAGGAGGAGCCTGGATCATTGGGAACAGTAGATCCTGCATGTTCCAGTAAGATAGATATGATGTCCCCAAGCAAAGAGGAGCCTAGGTATTCAGGAAAAGAGCTTTCTGTGTCCTCAGAAGAGGTGGGTCCTGCATCTACCGGGAAGGCAGATCTTATATCCCTGGGAAAGAAAGACCCTGGGCCCTCTGGAAAGGCAGACCCCACATCCTTAGACAACCCAGGGTCTGCATCCACAGGAAAGACAGATCCTGGGACCTTGGGGACTCTGACTCTAGGGTCATCAGGCACAAGTGAGCCTGTATCCCCTGGGGCAGTGGCTCTGGGGCCATCAGAAAGGGAGGATCCTACACACTTGGAGATGACAGATCCTGCATCTGTGGGAAAGACAGAAACCGTGCCCTCCGCAAAAGAGGGCCCTCGGTTCCTGGGAAAGATGGATCCTACCTCCTCAGGAAAGGAGGATCCTGTGTCTGTAAGGATGACAAAAACTGCGCCTGCTGGCCTAGTGGATCCGATGTCCTCAGGAAAGACGGGTCCCATATCTGTGAAAAATGTGGATCCCATGTCTTCAGGCAGGGGGGTTCCTGTGTCCTCAGGAAAACCAGAGCCCACATCTGTAGGGAAGACAGAAACTGTATCCTCAGGAAAGAAGGACCCAGAGGCCTCCAGAAAGGTGGATTCCATTTCTGTGGGAAATACAAAGACATTAACTTCCAGAAAAGTGAATCCTGAGTCTTCAGGAAAGAAAGAATCTGTACCCTCTGACCTAGGGGATCCCAAGTTCTTGGAGACAGCAGAACCCTCTTCCGTTGTGAAAGATGAGGCAGAGACTAGGGGGAAAGCAGGTCCTGTGGCCTCTGGAAAGGTGGACCCTGTGAGCAGGGGGAGGGCAGAAACTGTTCCACGTGGAGAAGTGGACTCAGTGTCTTCGGGAAAGGTGACCTCCATGACTCTGGGGAAAACAACCCCAGCAGCACCTGTTCCAGAGGGAAATGTGGGTCCTCTGCCTCTAGAGAAGGAGGATCCTGTGAACTCTACAAAGGTGGATCCCAGGGCCTCAGGGAAAGCAGAAACCACCTCTGAGGGCAAAGCAGAAACAAAGCCTTCTGGGCAGGAGGGTCCAGCTTCATCAGGAAAAGCAGAGGCTGCATCTTTGCAGAAGGAGCCACCGGCTTTGGAGAAGGTGGATCCAGGAGGCTCAAGAAAAGCAGATCCTCTTCACTCTGGGAAGGTGGAGTCTGTGTCCCTGGAGAAGGCCGATTCTGGACCTCTGAGAAAAACAGAGCCCCCATCCTTGGGCAAGGTAGCCCCCCTGACTCTGGAGAAGGCGGCGGCCTCCTCCATCAGGCAGTCAGATGGCAAAGCCTGCGGCTCAGGCCGTTCTCCCGCAGGGGCCGGAAGCAGAGGGCGCAGCACAGAGTCAGAGCCAGTGCCCAGCACTCAGGCTTCCAGCCTGGGTCAAAAGGACCAGGCGGGCCCTGGCGCCGAGAGGAGTGCAGTGCCGGAGGCCGCAGCCTTCCCACCCGGGCCGCGGACTCGCGACAACTTCACTAAAGCGCCGTCGTGGGAGGCGAGCGCCCCGCAGCCTGCACGCGAGGACGCCGGCACGCAGGCGGGAGCGCAGGCCTGCGTTTCGGTGGCCATAAGCCCCATGTCTCCGCAGGATGGCGCGAGCGGCCCGGCCTTCAGCTTCCAAGCGGCGCCGCGCGCGTCCAGCCCAGCGCCCAGGCCACCGTCTCGCCGGGACGCCGGCCTGCAGGTGTCACTGGGCGCCGCCGAGACGCGCTCGGTGGCCACCGGGCCCATGACCCCGCAGGCCGCGGCGCCCCCAGCCGCACCGCCCGCCTTCCCCGAAGTGCGGGTGCGGCCGGGCTCGGCGCTGGCGGCTGCGGTGGCGCCCCCGGAGGCGGCCGAGCCCGTGCGCGACGTGAGCTGGGACGAAAAGGGCATGACATGGGAGGTGTACGGCGCCGCCATGGAGGTGGAGGTGCTGGGCATGGCCATCCAGAAGCATCTGGAGCGACAGATCGAGGAGCACGGGCGCCAGGGGGCGCCAGCGCCGCCGCCCGTCGCCCGCCCGGGGCCTGGCCGTGCGGGCTCCGTGCGCGCTGCACCCCCTGACGGCGCAGCCAAGCGCCCGCCCGGCCTCTTTCGCGCTCTGCTGCAGAGTGTGCGCCGGCCGCGGTGCTGCTCGCGGGCCGGACCCACGGCCGAGTGATCTGTCCCCCTTTTGTACACCCGATTCCAACCTTCTCAGGCTCCCTTCTTGTCCCCAGATCCGTTAGAAGGGATCCCCTCGTCGCGCAACAGGCCTCCAGGGGCAGCCTCTAGGGCCTTATTCCCTTCTTTCGGCCCCTTCCCTCCTGAACAACAAATGAACTCCTCTACCCAGATCCCTCACGGTCATAAGCCCATGAACCCAGCCCCGTTATCCCATCATCCCCTCAGTCCTCAGCTCCACTCCCTCCCGGTCACACTCGGGGACCTGCTTAGCACCCTCAGCCCTGAGAGTTGAGGCAGGCTCCCGAGATGTCCAGACAGGTGTGTGGAAAAGGAACCAGGTCCCCAGAACGGGAGAAACTGTACAAAAGCTCCAAGTGTGTGAGGATTGGTGTGTGAGACCCTGAGTGTGCAAGGCCCTAGTGTGAGGCCTGGGCGTGTGTGAGTGCATGTCCATGCAGCGGGCTGGCCCCCATGGCCTGGGCATCTCTTGCATGCTGAAGGTAGTCATCCCCAACTCCCGTCTCCCCTCACCTGACCCAACCCCTAGCCCTACCTATCTCTACCCTCACTGGACACTAGTTCACAAATCCCAGACAGGCCAAAGGCAGCTGTGGGGGTGTCCTGGGGGTGTACAGAAAAGTCACAGAAAGGTCAGAGGGTCTCAGAGGTGACTGGAGATCACAGAGGCTCATGGAAGGTCTGGGGCCTCTGGCAGCCTGGGTGGCAACCCGTTTTGTGTATTGGGAACAGAGCAGAGGGCTCTTCTACAACCACAGTTGTCTGCCAAAGGCTGCCCTTGCCAACCCCTCATCTCCCCTGTGCTGTGAGCCCCCACAAGGCCCTTGTGACCACACGTCCCCACCCCTCCAGCCGCTGTTTTTGGCTACTGTCACAGTATACATTGGTAATAAAATTTTCCCCCAACTCTGGTCAGCAGTGATTGTCTACAAACAGAAGGGGACTGAGCAACATGATATATTATTATGTTCAGGGAGGGGTAGGTGTAGTTTGGGGGTGACAAGACTTCTTCAAAGGTGGACCAGAAGGGTGGGGGCCCACAGGGGGCTCTGTGAACGTCCCACTTCACACATCTGTGGTGTCCATGCCAGCATTGGTGAAGGACATCTTCTCCTTCTGTCCACCCACACCGGCATTCCTTCCAGACAGCACCATGCTCAGGGGCTCTGCATCTGGCTCTTGCAGTCCAGTGTTCAGGGGCTCCTTCTGTGGGGAGGAGGGGAAATGTGAAGATAAAGGTAGAGTAACCTGCCTTGAAGAGTAGATGACCTTCAAGCCCACAACCAGATGGCTTTTAGCTGGGGTCCCACCTACTCCTCTTGGCCACTGGTGGTGGAGATGGGTTCAAGGGAAAGGGGGGAGTGAGGCAATTTATTCTAACCTCCGCCCCACCCTTGGACACAGTGGCACTTTGGTGTTCTGCCTAGTCCTGAGGAGTGCCAGGCCCTGCATCTGGTGCCAGAGAGCCAGTGCAGCACAATTCCTGCCACCTGTGCCCGATGGCAGACACCTGACTGGGTACAGTACAGCCATCACCTGGACTACCCACAGAACACTCTGAAAGAGGGATCTCATCCCCTATTTTGCAGCTTTGGAAACAGGCCTAGAGGGCTCTCATGGCCAAGAAGTTGCAGAGCTGGGTGTGGACTCTGATCATGTTGGCGCTAAAACCTATCCATCATACAACGTGGCCCCTGGTTAAATTTGGCATCACCTGCCACCCTCAGAGGAACACATCACACCCAGAGTCTCTCCACAGTTCACCATGGCACACACATCTGCCTTTCCACTCCCCTCTCCTGCACACTCACAAAACTCCTTACGCATACACCCCCATGTGGACCAGCCAGACCCCCAGGCTCAGCTACTCCACTGCAGACACCCAAGGGCAGAGAGCCCCAGGACCACCACCCACTCTAGGGCACTGCAAGGGCTTTTCCAGACTGGGGTTGTTCCAGTCCCTGCTAAACAGTGGAACAACTGAGGGTTCCAGAGGACTCCTTGCTCCCCAGAATCTTGCCAGAGACCCCTAGTGGGAGGTGTTAGCACAGCACTGCCCAGGGCAACCTGGTCTAGAAGACACAAGATCTGGGTGCCAGGACACCCTTGCCTTGCCAGGTCTCTGACTGTGGACAAGTCGACACCCCTCTCTGGCCTTGGCAGGGAAAAGTGGGATTGGGTGATGCTTCAAGTCTCTCAGAGCTTCCACAGAAAATTTTAAGGAGGTTCTTCAGTGATTTGGGCCACCAAAGATCCCTTGGAAAAGGCCCTATTTGCGTTCCCCACCTAGGCAAGAGAGGATTGTCCAAATAACTCAAGAAGGTCCCATAGCTGGCTGCACCTACCCAGAGATCACAAGGTGCACTGACTGCCGTGGGGGACTGGGGGCGCAGACAGCTCATCAGAAACACCCCTACCCCCTGATTTCACAGGGCAGTTATGGTTCTCTCCTGCTTTGAAGATGCTGAGGGACCTGGCTGCAGCCTCTCCATACTCTCCTCTGAGTCCCCTGCCCCTCTCCAGCCCGCAGGTCAAGCCTCACCTCCACCACCCCTCACTCCCCTCTGGAGTAAAGTTTGTCATCCACCAGGGACTACCTGCCTAGCCACAGCTCCAACCTGTAAGGCTGGCCTCTTCCATCTCTGTGTCCCCCCACCCAACCCCCAAGACAATCTCATGGAAGTTTTTGCCCTAAACTATCTTTGACCAAAGATTGATCTGTCTACCAGAGGCCTCCCATCCTACCTAGAGGCCTGATTGCCCCCATGATGCCCATGCTTGGGACCTGTTTGCAAGCACCCATGTTACAGCCAGGCCCTTGGGCAACAGATTTGGTATGTGCACACAGCACTGAACTGAAACATGAGGGAAGGCTGGGAACCCCAGGCAGGCAGGGCCTGGCTGCAGGCAAGACCCAAGTGGGTGGATATAGTAGAGGCTGGGAGGATACTTGCCTGCCCCTCTAGGTCGGGGACCAGCCCACTGAGGTTTGAGACCCTGGGGGTTGAGATCCTGTCTGCACATTCCGACCCCAGGAGCTTTAACAACACATGGATGCGCAGGCCCACCTCGGGATCAGAATCTCCCATGTGAACTGGCACCGCTATGTCAAAAGAGCTTCCCGAGTGATTCCAATCAGCAGCCCAGGCCGTGAGTTCTTGATCTAACCTAACCAAGTAACTGGCTGGCCCAGTGATGGTACTGCTGTTTCTTTGAGCCTCCCTTCTCTCCTCTGCCAGAGTATGTTCATCTCTGCATCTTATCCCGACTCCCGCCTCACCAGCTTTCAAATAAAAGCTAGAAAAGGAAGGGCCTGATTGTTGAGCAATTGTTTTATGCCAGGTGGTTCTTACATTTGCTCTTATTTAATCTTCACAAAAGTCCTACATGGTGGGTGTTCTGATTCCCATTTACAGATGATAAAGCTGAGAGCCAGAGGTCATCCTCCCAGGGTCACAGTGAACAAGTAGAGGGTCAAAGATCAGACCCCCATTCCAAAGTCAAGGGGCTTCCCAGAGCTGGTGCAGAGATATGCCCATGTCAGCATAGGTCCTTTGAGTTTTCTCAACCCCATCCCTTCAGAAACCCCAGACACCAACCCCCCATCTTGCCTTGACTTCCTGTTTGTCCTTATCCAGGTCCACAGAGTTCTCATCCAGGGAGTTGAGGCTGTGGGGAAGGAGGAGAGGGAAGGGTGATAGAACTCAGAGACGGCAGGCCCAGTGCTCCCTGTTTGTGGCCATGAACTACTACTGCTTCAACCAACATCACGAGTATACCACCATTACCACCTCAACCACCATCATCTCTACTCACTACCATCATCATCCTCACCTCCACTACCATCACCATCTTTACTACCACACCATCACCACCACCACCATCATCATCACCATCACTATCACCACACATGACCATCACCTCTCATGACCAGCACTACCACCTCCACACACCACCACCGATACCACTAGCACCACTCACCATGTCACCACTTCCACCACCATCACTGTCTCCACCACCAACACCTCCACTACCATCACCATCACCATTACTACCTCCACCACCATTACTTCAACCACCACTCCCACTAGTACCATCATCCCCACCAACACAACCTCCTCCTCATCATTATCACCATCACCATCATCACCACCATCCACCATTATCACCATCACCACCATCCACCATCACCACTTCTACCACCATCTACCGCCACAAGCCAGCCTGGACACTGCTTACCTGACATCATCTGCGTCACTGGAGGAAGATTGGGACTCAAAGCCCAGGTCTTTGGTGGCGAGGTTCAGCATGGGATTGGCCCTGGAGAGAAGGTCCAGTCAAGCAGCTGCGGGCCTTAGCTACCCCAGAGGGCCTCTTAGTCCCCCACCCTTTGACCCTGGCTTACTTCTCATTGGTGTACATGTTAGTTCCGGGGATGGCAGAAACCGAGGGTATTACCCCCGTCAGTGTCTTCCGGGCTTCCTTGGCAGCCTTTGTAGCCCGAAGCTTCCTCTCATAGCTATGAGAACAGGGATGGTGCAGGATGGAGCAGGATGGATACTTTGCCTGCACACCCACTATGTCCCCAGTGCAAACCCCAAAAGTGTGGCTTTACCACATACTGGCAGGTGAGAATGTCAGTGCCATTTCACAGAGGACACAGGTAAGACCAGGGAAATGAAATGATTTGCCAGAGGCCATGAGGCTGGCCAATGGCAAGACCTAGAATCAAACCCAGATGAGGCTGCTGACCCCAAGAATTTTGGAAAGGGAGAAAGAAGCAATGTTTCTTAAAGGCATAAATTGGGCCTGACATCTTGCTAGGTGCGAGATGCATATTGCACCTGAGGAAACTGAAGCTCGGACGGGGAGGCGCCCTGCCCACAATGTCATGTGTCAGTGGAGATTAAATACAAGCATAGCTGACACCTAAACCTGAGGTTTTCCGGGTGTTAATGTCTTAGTTGGGGGGACACAGGGGTTATAGGAGCAGTACCTCTTCCGGACACACATGAGGGACACAGTCATGATCACGATGACCAGCAGCAAAGCTATTCCCAGTCCAATGATGACACTACTGAGCACCTGCGGCAAATTCGACTCCTGCCGCTCCTCGGAGCCCTGGAGAGGATGGAGTGTGAGAGAGGCCATGGGAGCAACATTCCCTCCCCTACCCCCCAAAGTCATCTACCCTGCCCTCACTCACCACCACCACCAGCCCCAGATCCAGCAGCCGTGTCAGTACATCCTGGTCACTCCGGATCACCCTGGTCACAGGACCCCCATTCAGCCCCAAGGGACACCGACATCCCCCAGGCTTCCAGCTTACCCTCCTGGCCACCCCCAAGGTAGCCCCACTCACATAACCAGCTCATCAAGTGTCAAGGCTGTCCCATTGGAGAAAACAAAGTAGGCATCCAGGTAGGAACGGCCTCGGGCCCTGGAATGGGGGGCGGGGTGTGTGTAAAGGGTCAGCAGCTCTGAGCAACCCAGCAGGTCCCTCCTGCTACTGTTGCCCTTCCTCACTCAGCCTCTGGGCCTGTGGGTACTCACCGAGCTGTGGTTTCTATGTCTTGAATTTTCACGATGTAGACTGTAGTGTTGGTCACTTGGGTAAGAGTCCTGCAAAGGGGGCAGATATCACAGAGACCTTGGGTAGGGGCTTTAGCTCAGGCCCCAGGGCCAGTGTTCTGCCACTGAAATTAGGAATCCAGTGAATTAGAAAGGGGGAACCTCCCCTGACAGCTCCATTGACTAAGCAGAGAACACCTCTGCAAATTAGGCAAGGAAGCCTCTTTTCCTGGGACTGGGTTTGCAGCTTAGCAAGCAGCATACTCTTGTGCTGTGTGCAGCCTTTGCAACTGTACATGCAGCCCATTTAGGCCTCTCAATGCTTAGCCAATCATAGGCTTCTGGGGCATGCAAAAAGGAAGTGCAGGTACAGATACAGAGTCAAAGAGAGGGACAAGGTCAAGTGTGGCTCAGGGACAGGGTGACAGACAGTCTATCCACGTCTTGCCAGGGACCATGCTCCCAGACCCTGTTTTTCCCCACAAACCCCTCCCCAGTTTCCCCAGACCTACTTCTTAATCTCATCCGACTTGAGGTCCAACTCCTCCTTGTTCAGGGAGAACTGCAGCCTCACACGGTCACTCTCCTCCACAGTAAAGACCTATGGGAGGAGGCAGAGAGGGAGATGAGGCCCAGGGCCCGGGGACTGGCAGAGGGCAATGGGGAGAGGAGGCAGGGCCTGACACTCACATTCAGGGTGGTTTTGGCTTCCTTGGGCGGATTCACAAGAGGTTTGTCCTGGGCCTGGACTGTTACTTGATAAGTGCCTCGCTGAGTGGCATTAAGGTTGGTCATCAGCCTATGGAAGATAGAAGGGCACAGCTTTTTTGGAACCCAAACTGAAATCCTCTGGAACCCACTGTCTACCTCTCACAGTATACACTGCCTGGAGGCCCTGTTGGTTCTCCCCTCAGGGAGAACCCCACCCATGGGCTAGCCCATAGTCACCTGATGCTGCCAAAAAACACATTTGAGTCTAAAGAGGTGGAGATCCGGAAGCCCTGGATAGGAGTCGTGGTGCCTTCCTTGGAGATGAAAACCGTTTGGTAGATGGAGAAAACGATATTTCCGTTGTCCCCTGAGTCATCGTCTTTGGCCTGGGAACAAAAGTGGACCACATCGAGTGGCCAGGCCAGGCAGCTCCATGCCCACCCCAGCAAGAATCAGAGAGTAGGGTGGCCTAGGAGGTTGGCCTCTATCATCTCTACCAGCCTTACCCAGGTCACCCCAACTAAGTGATTGGATTATGCAGTATGGACAAGTCCTAGCTTAACAGGTCACCATCACCACCCAAAGAGGGCACAGTTATTTTTATTCATTCTCGTGCATTTTAGAGAAAAATAGAGCCACGAGTCAACAGACATCACTGCTCAGGATGAGACAAAGCTGGTATTTCAGTTTCAAGGAGTCGATGTAAACAAAATTGTTCAAAGCCATGGCACTAGGTGGCAATTGCCTCACACTGGAAAACTGACTTTTTAAAGCTTAAAAGAAACTCAAAAGGGAGAATCTCTATGGCCATTTTATTTATTTATTTTTTAAAGATTTATTTATTTTTGTATACCAGAGCTGGGGCACAGGCCAGAGTAGTGGTGGGTGAAAGGATGCACCAGACAGAGTGGGGAGCAGAACAGGCAGACTGACTGAAACACACTGCTGAGGGGAGCAGCGGGCGAGACAGGAGAGGTCTGCTGCGCCATGTGGGTAGCTCCCTGGCCAGCCAGGGATGGAACTCATGCTACAGAGGCTGTGGATTGCTTCATAGATGCTTAACTACTTGCGCCACAAGGGAGGCCCACTATGCCCATTTTAGGAGAAGAAACTGGGGCTCTGAGAGACACCCTGTCCCACCAGAGGCTCTGCCCTGAGTGGGGGAAGGCTGACCTGTCCGCCTCCTATACCTGTGTCCTTTCTGGTGAGCACAGTGTGGTGGCCAGACGCCCCCGCCTCTAAACCCTAAGAGGCTACCACCATCAACCCCAAAAGGGAAAGTAACAGACATGGTGGTTCCCCAGGTAAGAGAGATCTGCTGCCCCAGGGCCCAGAGCCCAGGGAGGCTTCCCCCCACCCTTGCATGTATAGCTGCCACCCTCCAATAAACAAGCCTGTATCCAACACCATAAAACACTGAAAGCGTTTTTTTGGTTTTTTGTTTTTTTTTATAGAGGCATGTTTTATTTATTTATTTGTTTGTTTGTTTGTTTATACATGCACTGGGTACAGTCAGAAGCACGGGAGGGTGAGAGAATTCACCAGAGCCAGAGCGGGGAGCAGAGCAGGCAGAAGGACTGAAGCACACTGCTGAGGGGAGCAGCGGGCGGCAGGAGAGGTCTGTGCGCCATGTGGGACCCTCCTCCGGTGCCCGGGGAGCAGCCGGGGATCGAACCAGCGCCGCAGAGGCCGCAGGCAGCTTCGCAACCCAGTGCTCAACCGCTGTGCCACCGGGGAGGCCCTGAAAGCGTTTTTTAAATTTTGCTCTGGAAATGATTAACTGCAAGGAACTTGTTATATTTACATTTGCTATGATTTCTCTGTAATACTCAAAAATTCTGGTGTAGTGAGGAAAATCTAGCCTGCAAGCGGTTTTTATGGTCATGAAATTTTTATGAATACTGAATGGAACAATTAATGACATTTAATTATGTCAATAAAACAGGAGTTCATTCCATACTAGGGTTTTCTTTTCAGATATCAGAGCCAATAAATTTCCTTCCCAGCATTAAAACATGTTGGGAGCAGCTGGAAGACCCGAGAAGACCTTAGCCCTGTGTCCCCTGGTGCTGAGTAACTGACAAAGGGAGGAGCCAAGGACTTACCTTCACACTAGCCACCTCCTGGCTGGAAAGAACATGTTCGGGGAGGATCACTGCAAGTGTAGAAAGGAAGATCAGGGGGTGGGGACTCGTGCCCACCTGCCTCGTGCTGACCACAGCCCAACTCAAGGTTCATCCCTCCAAACCTGCCCTCCCAGTCTCCCCATTACCAGAGACTCTCATTATACCCTCCCCCTAGTCATTTGTTTTCAGGTCATGCACCTCTCATTGACAAGATGGGGAAATGGAGTTCCGGAGAAGAAGGGTCTGGCCCATAAGAGTTTGGACAGAGCTGGAGTGAAAACTCAGGTTTCTTGTTGAAACCCTAGGGGAGAGGCAGGATTAGATGCCTTCCTCCCTTTCTGAGGGCACATCTAGAACCTGAGAAGGGTCTATGGGAATCACCCACACATGGTCCTGGCAGAGTGGGTGGGGAGTGTTGCTGCATACCAAAAGTCTTATCCTCAGGCAGAAAGTAGGGTGCGTTGTCATTCACGTCTTCGATGGTGATGGGGAGGCTTCCTAGGGGAACAAGGTGGTTCAGCTGTGGTCTCTAGGCAAAGGCCTGCCCCAGAAACCCTGAGACAAAGCCAGCCACCTCCCTTCCATGCATCACCCCTTCCATGCTCATTCCCCTTCCTTGCTTCTGACCTCGGAAGCCTACTCAGTCTACTTGGGTCTTTGTAGGAGGGAGCATCTTCTGGGGGCCTCAGAAAGAGCAAACAACCTGTCCAAGGTCACACAGCAAGAGCAGTGGATCAAGCCCAAGCCAGGTATGTGTCACCAGGCCACATTCTATAGATACTTGCTAGCTGTGTGAGCTAGGTTATTTAGTTGCCTACTCTGTACTTCAGTTTCCTCACGTGTAAAATTTGGATAGGGGTCACCTACCTAGTGGGTTGTGTAGGAGTAAAGTGAAAAAACATGTACATTACACCACCTCACAAAACAACAGCATTAAGTGCTTACTGCATGTCAAGCACTGTGCCAAACACTTCACATGCGTGTTCTCATTTAATCTTCACAACTAACTTACTACTCAGCTCCACCTAACAGATGGAGAAACTGGAGTTTGAGGAGGTTTTACAACTCACTGGTGACACAGCAGTTAAAATCTGGAGCTAGAGTTTGAACCCAGACCTTGGGGATCCCAGCCCAGGGCTCTTTCCCATGGTCTTTAGGCCCTGCTGAACCTCACACGCCAGCCCACCTCACCGTTGTCACTGTAAGCCTGGAAGCGAGGGTCTGTTTCCTGGTCATAGGCGCGCACAATTAGTGTGACCAGGTCACAGCTCTCATAGTCGATGGCCTCGCTCTGATTGATGTACACGGAGCCGTTGCCCAGCACAGAGAACCAGTCATGGCACAGGCTGCCCACATCATGCTGGGCCTTGGTACAGATGACATTCACAAGCTGTATCTCCAGCTGAGACGTGGTATCCACATCCTGGGCAACCACGTTTGTCACCAGGTCATGCTGTGAGCCATTCTCGGCCACAGAGATGCCCCGGAGCGAGGCTGAATCCAGAATGGGCGGCTCATCATTCACGTCCTCCACAGTCACCAGGACCTTTGCTATGGTTTTCTCCCCTTGGGGGTTTGGGTTCTCAGCAGTCACAATCAGACTGTAGGAATTTTGTGTCTCATAGTCCAGACTCACGTCCACGGGCAGCGAGAGGTTACCCTCAGCCTTCCCAGACCCCAGCACCTGGCCTTGAATGATGAAGTTGTTGGAGCCCACCCCTGACAGGCTGAAGCTGATGCGGTTGTTGGCTTCTGTCTGGTCTGCATCTGAGGCCTGCACCGTGCCGACCAAAACACCTGTGGACAAGGGGCTGAGTTTAGGGAGTCCCCGGGCCCAGCCACTGGAGGCCATTCAGAGAGTCCTCTGCCCTCACCTCCCCCAGGGGTCTCAGGGATGGGTCAGATGCCACACAGGACCCCAGCCCCAAGGCTTGGCCCAGAAAGGACTGACCTGAGGTCCTCTCCTTTACCGAGAAGGAGTAGCTGGACTGGTTGAAGATGGGGAGATTATCGTTGATATCCTGCAAGCAGAGGAAACACTGAACCCAGGGACCTCAGGAGCCCCCAGGGTTCAACCTCCCAGAGCCAATACAAGAAGTCAATACTTCCTCTGGCTCAAGGCACAGACTGTGCGTGTCCCCTCAGACAGCCCTGCCCACTTTACAGATGTGGGCATGTTCGAGATGGACCCTGGAGAGAACTGACGAACAGAGCTCATGCATGGGGGCTCAGAGGCCCAGGGCAGAACCACTGTGCTTAGTTCCACACTTAACGGGTCCCCATTCCCTTGCTGTTTGTCTGACCACGTCTCAGAGTCATCTTAGACCCTGCTTTTCAGAAGGTTGTGAGTCCCCATCTGCATCCCTGTCTGGCCCAGCTTACCTCCCCACCTCTCAGATTTTGGGGGTTGGCACCAATATCACCACAAAGGCCCTGCAGCCCAAGCTTTTCTCATCCCTCTTCTCTCCTGCTCATCCTACGCTCCGCCAGTCTCACGACGTGTGCCCCATGCTCAGGTAGACCTGGGCTCGAGCCACCTGGTAGGCTGAGACCTGGTCCTGTTCTCAGATGCTGGCTGCCTTCAGTTCCCACCTGTGCTGCCCAGACCTGCCCACTCGGCCCAGCTGCTGCCGCCACCCTCTGGGCCTGCGCTTGCTCCACTGACACAGCTTGGTGCTGGGGGATCCCTGGGCTTTTCCAACTCTCCCCCTGGGGCAGTCCCAGCATCTGCTTTTGATTTCAGTTTTTTCCAGTAATAGAAAGGACATCTTTGAAAACAAAGCCTTCTCCTGGTGGTGATTTCCCAGATATGGCATTGCTTGCTTAACACAATGCGATACACAGGGCTGCTGGGTAGGCTGGCACAGGCTACTCATATTCCTAGGGGTTGCCATCCGCATCATACTTTAGAGGACACGGGTGTTACCACACTTTTCTAGAGGAAGGTGACTTGTGGGCTAATGGCGGTCTTAGAAACACAGATGGGGTTTGAAACCCACTCTGCAATCCCCGACAAGCTACCTGACCTCTCTGTGCCTGTTTCTCAATCAATAAAATATGACCATCTTTACCTACAGGGCCAGGTGTGCAAGAGACACTGTAGATGCTGGCTTTTCCCCATGAATAGGAGAGGGGGAGTATAGGAGGGCAGGTCTTCATGAATGATAATTAGGGTGCCTTCTATTCATTGAATACTCTCCAGTGCACTTGCCACGTGTTAACTCACTTTGTATTATTTTCATCCCCATTTACAGACAGGAAAGTTGAGGGCACAGATGATGGAGTCACTGCCTAAGGCCACACAATCGGTGAGCAAGGATGCTATATACCCGCCAAATTGCAAAAGGGAGAAGGTGACTTGAGTTGGGGCAGGGGGAAGCTGACCATGTGCTCAGGTGCCCCCAACACAGGGCCCATCCTGGCACCTGCCCCCAGCTGAGCCAGGCCTTACCTCCACATTGACGGTGACATTGACCAGGGTGCTGAGTTGAGGCACGCCACAGTCACTCACATTCACGGTCAGCACGATGTAGCCCCCTAGGTCAGGGTTGATGGCCTCCCGGTCCAGGGGTCCCACATTTCTGAGGATCCCTTCATTGATATCCATAGAGAAGTTGTGGCTATAGGAGCCGGACAATGTGAATTGCAGGTGGCTATTGTTGGTTCCTGGCTGGTCTGCATCATAAGCCTGTAAAGATCAACAGGGTTGGGCATCAGCCATCAGGGCTCCCCAGCCCCCAAATCCCTCCCCTGCAGGCTGGCCTCCCCCTCCAGTGCTGGCCCACGAGGGCAGCAATTGGACCTGAAGCCAGTGGGACACTGTCCAATCTCCCAGCCTGTCTCCCATCAAAGAGGGTCATATCAACAGTTTGCAAGAATTTCTGAGCACCGAGGTCATTCGTGTTTACGGTATGCCAACCCTGTGTCTGGGCCTGTTCTAGGCAAACTTACGGAGTTGATATTCCAGTGGGGAGGGGAATAGGGACAGTATACTATAGATATTCACAGTTTAAATAAATATAAAATTAGTGTGATGCCCATCAAGATTCTGATTTCCTTCCTATGATGACTACTTCAGTACTGTAGTTCTAAAATAACGATTCTTCACCCAATGTGTGTGTGTGTGTGTGTTCCTGCCCTGCTGCCAGGGTCCTGAACACATGCTTAGTTTGCCTTTGGGGTGATTTAAATGGAAGAATACAACAGGCTTTTTCCTAGCACAGGGCCTTTGCACATGCTATTGACTCACTCTGAAAGCCCTTTACACCTTTTCTCTCTCACTCCAGGCCAGGTTGGTGCCTCACCTTAGCCTCTACAATCCCCGTGCTACACTCATTACAGGACAAGTGACACCCTTGGGTGACTCTCTGGAGCCCTTCCCCTATGTAAGAGTCACATGGAGGCAGGAATTATGGTAGAGTTATCTTGGGGAACTTGGAACCCAGAAAAGAGTTTGGTGCCTAATTGGAGTTCAGCAGATATAGTTTTGAATCCAGACTTCGAACCAATTCTTCCCTTTCTCCCTGACCAACCCCCAACATCAGCTCTTTCAATTCAGTTCTTTGAGATCTTGTTTATTAAATGCTTCCTTTAGCTGGAGATGGTTTCCTCCAAAAGTGACCTGTTTACCTCTTGGCACTTTGAACTCAGGCCAGTTAATTCCCCAAGGGTTTCTTGGGGCTTATGCCAGGCACCATGGTCACAGCAACAGATCTGAAATGCTCCTGCCTGGAGGAGCTTGAAGATCAGGTGAGAAGTACCAAGAAGCAAGGAGCAAAGACCAAGGTGTCAGGGCAGGGAGGCCTGAGTTCATTCCCAGTACCGCCATTTACTGGCTGTGCAGCCATAGCAAAATCACGTAACTTCTCTGAGCCTCAGTTTTCTCCTTCTGTGAAATGAGGATCACAAGGGCCTCTCTGGTGGCACAAGGGGTTAAGTCTCAGCACTATGAAGCTATCCGCAGACATGGCAGGAGTTCGATCCCCAGCCTGGGAGCTACCCACATGGTGCAGCAGACCTCTCCTGTCTCACCTACTGCTCCCCTCAGCAGTGTATTTCAGTCATTCTGACTGTTCTGCTCCGCACTCTGTCTCTGGTGAATCCTCTCATTCCCCTTCTCCCATACCTCTGGCCTACACCCAGCTCTTGTATGCATAATAAATAAATCTTTGGGGAAAAAAAAGAAATGAGGATCACAGGTCAGGGATGGGAATGTGCCCTGGAAACCACACAGCCCCATAAAATATGGGAGGGCTCCATGGCCACGTGACTGTCCTTCCAAGGACCTCCTTTTCTTCTTTTCACAAGATCCCCTTCCACATGACTCAAGAGAAAAGCTACTCTTTGCTGTTCCTCTGGAGCCAATGGTGGGTCTTTATCTCATACTCTGAAACCAGCCACTGATCTCATCTCCTTTTTTTGCTTTGGCCATTAGGAAGCTCAGAACTGAATTTTCAGCCCATTCCTAGCAATTGTATGACTCTGGGTTTTAACTATTTTTGTGTCCTTTAACAATGCCATTCTTACGTTCTCTTTGTCCTGATTCCACCCATATTTTTATCTTACTTTTAAAACTAAGCCATCTCAAATCCTTTTTGGAATGAGTCAGAGGCCTGAATTAAAAAGAACAGCACGATTTTGAGGCCTTGCTCTGTGCTAAGCACTTTATACCAGTTATCTGACTATTCCTCAATGGTCCCACTGAATAAGTGCTAGGATTTTCATCATTTTCCAAGAGGAAATGGAGGCCCAGAGAGACTCAAAGACTTTCTCAGGACCACACAGCAAAACCCAGATTCCCACCCTGGGTCAGCATGACTACAGAACCAGATAGGGTCCCCTGCCCTGGGGCCACTCCCAGGCCCAGGACATCTGTAACCTTGATGGTCATGGAGATATTGTCCAGTTCCTCCCGGACAAAGATGTTGTAGGAGCCGCTGACTACAGGCTCGTTATCGTTAACGTCCAGCAGGAAGATCTCTAGCACGGTGGATGTCGACAGGTTGCCGCCGTCCGTGGCCTGCAGAGTGAGGTAGAACACCGGCAGCTTCTCCCTGTCCAGCAGCTCGGAGTTGCTCACGCTCAAGTTCCCTGAGCGTGGATCCACTGCAAAGATGTCTGTCCTGCACAGGGAGGTTACATTTAGAAAGCAAAACAAAACAAAATAAGATGTTGGCTTAATTTGAATTTCAGATAAACAATGGAAAATATTTTAGCACATCCCATAAAATAGTTGTAACATACTTGTACTATGTTATTGCTTATTTGTTTATTACTGATTGTTTATTTGAAATTGAAATGTGACTGGGTGCCCTCTATTTTATCTAGCTACTCTTACTCCCATGGAGAGATTGATAGGGGCCGGGCCCCACTCCCCACCAGTCCCCTGCCCACCCGGCACCTTCCTTACCCGCTGCTAGGAAGCAGGCTGTAGGTGATGATGCCCCACTCACCCGTGTCTGGGTCAGTGGCCTGTGAGGCAGAGAGATAGATAACAGGACACTGTTCAGATGTGGTGGCACTCACTGTCAAGCAGGCCACTGATGGGGCTGTCCTGCTTCCTGACACAAAAGGGAGAACTGTCCCACACACACTCAGATTCACACACAGACACGCTCACATACACACATGCTCTCGTGAACACTCGTGCATGTGTACACATTTACAGGGGCCTGATGACATCAAATGACAGGGAGACTGATGGGCCAGGGTCCCTGGTCCTGCCTTTCTCCATGTCTCTCCCAGCCAGACACAGCCATGTCCCCAACACTCACGTTGATCGAGTCAGAGATGACAGTGCCATTTGGACTGTGCTCGCAGACACTGAATTTGTACTGGTCCTGGGAAAATGTGGGTCTGTGATCGTTAACGTCTCTTAGGTAGATGGTCACCCAGGCAGTGGAGAGGTTCTGGTTGGCTGAGTCATTGGCCACGACCTGAGGGCAGGGAAAGGGTAGCAGCACTAGGGCCTGAGCACCCGGCAGCCCTTGTCACTGATGCCTCAAAACACCTCTCACCTGTACCAGCATCACTTCCTTAGTCTCGTAGTCCACCAGCGACGGTGTTTTCACCAGCACCTGCACGTCAGCTGCGCCCACTACCTTCCCAGGGGAGACACTGAAGGCTTCTGCATCGGGGCCACTCAGGGACATTAGGAAGGTGCCATTGCTGCCCTGTAGATGTTGTATGGTATAGTAGGGCCCCCAGCCCCTGCACCCACCAGTACGTTTTCCCCAATTCCTGGCCACAGCTTCCTGCCTCCAGAAGTACAGCCCACTGAAATCCCATAAAAGGGGGCCTCTTAAGGGACTGAAGCAAGAGGGCCCTGGGGAGTCTGGGTTGGTCACTAGTCCTGCAATTATGGCACTGTGGACCCCAGGTCCGGGCCGGACACATACCTCTCAATCCCATGAAGCATTACTCTAAGCCTCCATCATCTCACCTCTCACTACCCCTCCACCCGCACCACCAGCACCAAGCATCACATTACCTACACCACACTCACTGCACTCAATGCCAACCAGCTCAACACACCCACCCAACTACCTCCACCTAATAATATCATCCTCCACTCCACAGTTTGTGCCAACTCATTGTCACTGAGAATACTACCAAACACCCTACATAGTGATTCATCATTCAGTACTACCCGTCACAGATCGCTCTGCTCAGACAGGACAGCCGATGAAGTTCTCTGCCATTAACAAAGACCTGGAGTCTAAATGAATATGCAGTCGGGGGAGGCTGGGGAGAGTGCCATGGAGAGCAGCTCTGCCTTTCACTCTCCCAGCCCAAGCTTTTATTGAAGATATGAACAAAGGAACAAGAAAATAGCACACAGTTGTGTTTTTGCTTATACAGATTAATAAGTTACTGCTGAAAACAAGTTTTCCTGGTTAGTAGGGAACATGCGCAGAAGCCAGTACATCCTCAGAGAACAGGAGTCAATTCTGGGAAGAAGTTCTGTTTGCAGAATTTCTAACATCCTGGAACTCCATATGCAGAGTAAACAGGTCTTCTCCAAAAACTCCAGCTCCCTTTAGGGCAGTAGGCTCCCAACATTGCTCTATATCCATCTCCACTTAAGATACCCTCCAAATAAACACTCACTCCATACCCAACACCACCCCCTTCCCCAAGGACTGGTACTTGACCAGTACCACCCCAAAGCACTAGCCATCCAACATCATTCAACTTCACTAACCACCCACCACTATATTTTACTCAAAACCACTGAAAATTATATCCCACTCGCTGTTACCTAGCATCTAGTCCCAACCTCCACTCCACGCTGCCTTTCCCATTCACCACCACCTAAGCGCCATCCAAGATCACCCACCACCTCAACATCACCCAACATTGACAAGTATAACCCAGTATCTCTGAAGTTCATTACCATACATGAAGGCCACCACCGTCACCCACTGCTCGCCTCCCCACCATGCACCCAGGTACAGCGCTCTCCATCTCTTTCTACCTCCCTGTCCCAGCCAACCCCCGCCATCGCCGCCACCCCCAGTCCCGGTGCACCTGCCTTGTCTGGGTCATAGGCCACCATGGTGAGGTAGTCTATGGGGATGCGGGTGGAGGCATGCTCGTCCACGTAGCCAGTGAAGTTCGTTAGGGCTTCTTGGGAGGTGAAGGTGCAGGCCGGGAGGCTGCAGTTGTAAAACTCAGGCTCGTTGTCATTGACATCTGTCACCCTCAGTGTGACCCAGATGCTCACTTTGGCTTCCTGCCCATAGATGTTGAGCTGTTCCTCGGTGGCCTAGGAAAGAGCAGAGCCCACAGGGCAGAGGTCAGAGAACCAACACCCAGAGAAAGCCGCAATCAAAGGTCAGAGTTTAGAGACTGGGGGTGCAAAGGGGGTGGTAGACCCCTCACTCACCGTGACCTGCACCTCTACCTCCTCATCCTCATCCAGCAACTGCTCACGGTCCAGGGAACTGTTGACTGTGATAACCCCATCTGGCCCGATGTGAAACCAGCCGGGTCTTGTGGAGTCTGGAAAGGGACAGGAAGGGCAGCTCTTCCAGAGGCTCTGACAGATTTCCCACACTTCTTATGTCCCAGCCCCACCCTGAGGAAGCCCCTTCTCACTGGAGATGCTGTAGTTCATATTGTCGTTGATGCCTCTGTCATTATCCATGGCCTGCACCTTCAGCACTGAGGTTCCCTGGAAGGAGGCACATCAGCGACCTGGACCCTTTCCCAGCCTCTCATCCCCACCCAGATCACCCCAGGTCCCCTGCCACACCACGGATGCATCCTCAGACACAGAAGCCGAGTAAAACTCCCTGAGAAACTGAGGGTCCAGGTTTGGCTGGTCGATTACAGAGATGGACAGGAAGACAGGCTGGGAGCACTGGATCTGAAAGCTGTTGTTGTACAGGCCACCCAAGTCCTGTGGAGAGACAGGCCCTCAGTGAGCCGCCCAGGGGTTCCAGTGGACTCTCCACCCCTGCCTGTGCCTCCACTCACACAGGCCTCCAGTTTCAGCTGATAGAAGGAGCTCTTGTTGTTGTAGTCGAGCTTGTCATTAAGAATGATGCTGCCATTGGACAGGATCTCGAAGAGGTTCTTGCTCTCCGTGGTGTTAGGGATGACCTGAGCAGAGTGCATTCAAGCCAGGCTCCTCTAGGTGCCCAAGGCCTAAGCATGAATCCCAGTCCTGCCCTTGGCCACTCTGTAACTCTTGCCGGGTCATATAATCTCTCTGAGCCTCAGTTTCCCTTCTGGGAAGTGGGCTCAGACAGCGCTCGAGTAGGTTAAAAGGCAGGTGGAACAGGCTAAGGTCTGTACCAGTCATAGGGTGGTGCTCAGCAGATGGGAGCTATAGCTAGCAAATTCATCTTCATGAGAACTGGGGTCACCCCCCTATAGTCTGTGTGACCTTACAGAAGACCCTGGACCTCTCTGAGCCTTGATTTCCCTTTTGTGTAGCCAGGAGAACATCAGCCACCAGCTGGTGTGACAGGAGTGCTACTAGGGTCCTGACGGTGCACCAAGCAAGAGGATGGAAGGTGGGTCAGGATTAAAGCAGGTGCCTTCCTTAGACAGCTGGGCCACCCGAGGTTGTGTGGGAAATGCTGCCCCCTAGTGGTGATGAGGAGCAGTGGGGCCCACTCTCCCAAGAGGACTTGCACACACTCACCTCCATTATGGAGTAATTCACAGAGCCTGCAGGACCGTTGTCTACGTCTTTGGCCACCGCTGAGAACACCAGGGAGCCAACTGGCAAGGTCTGTAATGAGGGACTGGTCACCTTTAAGCTCCAATCCATCTCTTACATGCCCTCTCTTGAGCTTCAGTGTCCCCAGGACACTGAATGATAGATTCTTCCAGACACTAGCACATTGTTCCCCAGATATTCCCCTTTCCTTCCCACTTGGACTGGGCCTCGGGACAGCTAAGGGACAAATACTCCCAGCTCACATGCATCCTCTTCTCCCCTGCAGCCTCTCCACTACTTGATCCAATTTCTGATCTGCAGAACCCTTTGGACCAGGATGAGCAATCATTCCAGACACCAATGCCACTCCCCTCCTCAGATACCTTGTGTTTGTCTATAGCTTACAGGCATCCTCCAGACAGTGTCCCCATAGGTGCCCCCTTCAACCTGTCTATACCCTCACTATTTCCACAAGGATTCCATAAGAAATCCTTGAAAATCATGAATCAGACCACAGTACTCTGTACTAAAAATCCTCCAAGTTCAGGCCACTGCTCAGCTCTTCTTCTTACCCTCCATCCTCCAGTTACACATGCTTCCTTAGCTTTGCTACCACACTCCAAGCTCATCTTGTCTCTGAGACTTTACATCTGCTGTTCCCTTGCCTGGAATATTCCTTTCCTGGAGCATACCATACATAGCCAGCTCCTTCTTGCTATCTAGGTCTCTGCTCAAAGGTCAACGACTCATAGAAGGCTTTACTGACGTCAGCCACAAAGCAGCTACCTCCTTGGTCACTTTCTCTCATTTAGCCCTGCTTTTATGCTCTTCATAGAGCTCAACCATCTGGATGTTACATTGATTATTGCCTGTGCTCTTTGCTCGAATGTGCTGTAAGCAGGTCCATCTTGTTTGCCAGACACTCTCAGTACCGGTGACAACACCTGGCATATAGTGGGTGATTGCTCAGAGCTGGCCAAATAGCTACCTGAGCCTCACTGGCCCTGTGTCTGGCCTGGCCTGGGACTCCAGCCTCATGGGTCTTTGAAGCCACATGATAATGAAGATTGAGAAGTGGTGGTGTTTCTGTTAGGGGGAAAAGGATGTCCTAAAGCTAATTCCATACAGGCTTTGTGGACTCCACCCCCACCCCAGGCCAAAGCCAAAGACACTGGGAACTCCAAATCCCATCACCACCAAAGGGAAGGTGGCTGGGACCTGAGGGTGGGGTTAAGCAGCCAAGTTGGTATAAAGGCAGACACGTGGGCTTTGGGGGGTCCCCCATTTTGGCTCTCCACCAGCTCGCAGCGTCCGGCCAGCTCTGAGAGTGCCTTTGGGTTTCCAGGTCGGCGGATCGGGTAGGACGCATTAAAGACTTTATTTCCCTATTTTCTCCCTAAGTTGTACATTTTCCTTATTTCCTTTTCCCTTGTAAATAAACCTTTTATTAACCTTTTGTGTGTGTCTGTAGTGGAGTATTAATAAGTCCCTTTTAAGCGCGCGGGTGAGGACCCACAGCCAGGCAACCCGTTCAATATCGGGGCTGTCCTATAACAGAAAAATTACTTTGGGCTGGTCAACCACGGGTGAAGCTTGGAAATCATGTTGGGCGCCAGCTGTTATAGGAAGCCCCGATATTGAACGGGTTCCTGGCTGTGGGTCCTCACCCGCTCGCTTAAAAGGGACTTATTAATACTCCACTACAGACACACACAAAAGGTTAATAAAAGGTTTATTTACAAGGGAAGGGAAAATGAGGAAATGTACAACTCAGGGAGAAAATAGGGAAATAAAGTCTTTAATGTGTCCTACCCGATCCGACGACCTGGAAACCCAAAGGCACTCTCAGAGCTGGCCGGACGCTGCGAGCTGGCGGAGAGCCAAAATGGGGAGCCCCCAAAGCCCACGTGTCTGCCTTTTATATCCATCTGGCTGCTTAACCCCACCCTCAGGTCCCAGCCACCTTCCCTTTGGTGGTGATGGGATTTGGAGTTCCCAGTGTCTTTGGCTTTGGTCTGGGGTTGGGGTGGAGTCCACAAAGCCTGCATGGAATTAGCTTTAGGACATCCTTTTCCCCCTAACATTTCTACTGCTCGGGACCATTGGGAAACCTCATTCCCACCCATGTAGTTCAAGTGAGGATGCTCCTCCCTTGCTAGAAGGGAGGGTCTAGATGCAGACAAGCCAATCAAAGTATCACACACACCTAGGCTGATGGGCACCTGACTCAAAATGGGCCAATGAGAGTCAACCCTCAGGTTTTGGCTGGGATTGTTGAGAAAGTCTCTACTGATGTTTCAAAGCTGGTAGGAGGTGAGATTACTGAGCTTACTGAGTTTATCAAAGGAGACTTTTATCACTTTTATCACCACAGGATAGAAAATCAGAAAATCAAAATTTTTTTTTTTGCTTTCATAAGGAAAAGAATTCCAATCCAGTCTCATTGATGGCAAAATGTTACTGTCACTACAGTTCATGGAATGCCATCCCCCTGAATTTGGTTCCTGAAGCTGCCCCATCTGAGAGGTGCTTGTCCCAATCATGGACCCTCTGCTGGCTGTCTCTGGCCCTCCCCACTCTGATAAGAGCTCCTGGGATGCCTGCCCCTACACACCCACACCCAGTTAAGGCAGATATTACCTCATTGATTTTGACAGAGAAGTCGGTATTCTGGAAAACAGGTTTGTTGTCATTTCTGTCCTCCACGAACACCGGTATGTCCCTCAATACCTGCAGGTGAGATAATCTAGGTGAGCCTGGAAAACGTGAGCATTTGAGAAAACAAAATGGGGAGCATCTGGACGGGAGTGCAAATTGGCCTAACTCCTCAGTGGACAATTAGGCAAAGTTAGGGTAACTTTATTTGACACACTTTCAAACACCAGAAAAACTGCCAGTATAGTTCAACGAACTCTCAAGACCCTTCATCCAGATCCACCCATTGCTTGGTTTCTGTCTCGCTCTTCACATGTTTACCGAATCATTTGAGAGCAAGTTGCAGAAATCATTAGTTCATTTTTTAAAAGATCTAAAATGTAACTGCCTTATTATTACAAGAATGCCTATTTTCACTTTTTTGCCTTAGTGTAAAGCTGTTGGTTAAGAGACCAACTAAGCACTATGGTCTCTCCCCACGCTAGAATCAAGACAGTGCAGCAATCAGGGGCTCAGGCACAGACATGGGAAGACTCCAAGGCCGACTGCTGAGTGGATAAGGCAGTTCACGATGGTGCGTGCAGGGAATTTCCCTATTTTCAGAAAATGCACAGAAACAATGCTCTTGGATCCACATATGAACATATGCACATAAACAGTGAGGGGTAACACACAGTTACAATAGAGACTTCAGGTGGGAGTGGGCTGGGGAGGGTTGCCCAAGAGGACTTGAGCTTTAGCGGCAATTTTTAAGATGCTTACAAAAGAACAGTTGCATGAATATGTGAGTCATTAAAACCATTATTTAAATAGATTGAGTTGAGGAATATGCTGTAACTACAAACTCCTCATCTTTCATGGACATAAGACACAGTGGTATAAGTGTGCCATTTAGAAATGTGATCTTTGATACCACCACAATCAGCCAACAGAACTAAAATTTTGAAATTTTGTAATAATGTATGACAAAAGTGGACATATATGAAGTTCACTGGAGGTGATCCTTTGATGCCTTACTGCCCTAGTCCTCTTTTATATCACTGGTACCAGTCCTCAGATTGCTTCAACAGGCACGAAGACAACAGTCTGAAAATCTATCCCTATTATAAACCATAGAGAATAAAAAATGAGAAGACAGACAAACACCCTATAATACCACAGCAAAAAATCCCTGCAAGGGTCCCAGCCCAGTAGAACTGCAGAAAATGACAGAAGAGGAGTTTAAGGTAACAGCTCTAACAATGTTTGTGGAACTCAAAAAAACAATAAAGGATAGAAAACAACAACAGAATAAAGATAAGAAAATATCAGGCAATGACACTTAGAAGTAACAGAGTTAAGAAGCACTATAGCCGATTTTAAAAATACAATTGAGGGACACAACAACAGGCAAACAGAAGCAATGGAGAGAATTAATAAACTAAAAAACACAGTGTTGGAGAACATAAGAATAGAACAAGTTAGAGAAAAATATTTTTTTAAAGATTTATTTATTTATTTATACAAGCACTGGGTACAGTCAGAAGCGCGGGAGGGTGAGAGAATTCACCAGAGCCAGAGCAGGGAGCAGAACAGACAGATTGACGAAATACACTGCTGAGGGGAGCAGTGGGCGCAGCAGGAGAGGTCTGCGCGCCATGTGGGACCCTCGCCCAGCGGCAGGGATAGAACCGGAGCTGCAGAGGCTGTGGGCAGCTTTGCAGCCCAGCGCTCAAATGCTGCGCCACCAGGGGTGGCCCATAGAGAAAAATATTTTAAAATATTTCATGATATCAATGATGAAGATATTTTTGGTGACTTTCAGGGAATTAAAAACAAAAATAAACAGTTGGGATTGCTTCACTTCTACAAAGTGAAAGAAAATACAAGACAATTAAAATAACATCCTATTGAATGGTAGTTACACAAAATATAACTGTTAAGGGATTAATATATAAGACATATTTTTAAAAACTCATTTAATTCAACAACAACAACAACAAAATCCTAATAAATAAGGATATCCAGAAGGCCAAAAAACATATGAAAAAAATGTTCATCATTGGGCCTCCCTGGTGGTACAAGGGTTAAGACACAACCTTTGAAGCAATCCGCAGCCACTGCAGCATGAGTTTGATTCCCAGCCAGCCAGGAAGCAACCCACACTGCTCCCCTCAGCAGTGTACTTCAGTCAGTCTGTCTGTTCTGTTCCTCATTCTATCTCTGGTGAATCCTCTCACCCCCAACACCTCTGGCCTGTACTCCAGCTCTTGCATGCATAAATAAATAAATCTTTAAAAAAAATGTTCACCATCACTTCCAACAAGAGAGATGCATGCTAAAATAACAATAAGATACCATTTCACACCCATGAGAATGGCAAATATTAAAAGGACCTCCAATAACAAGTGCTGGAGAGGATACGGAGAAAGAGGACCCTTATTACACTGTTGATGGAAATGTAAACTGGTACAACCATTTTGGAAAGCAATCTGGCTTAACTTAAAAAACTAACAATGGAGGAAACCTCCCTGATGGCCCAGGGGTTAAAGTCTCAGCGCTATTAAGCCATCTCCAGTCACTGTGGCATGAGTAATCCCGGCCAGGGAGCTAACACCTACAGCACAGCAGACCTCTCCTGTCTCTCCCTCAGCAGTGTATTTCAGTAGATCCACCTATTCTGTTCCCCACTCTGTCTCTGGTGAATCCTCTCATCCCCCACACCTCTGGCCTGCACCCCAGTTCTTCTATGCAAAATAAATAAATAAATAAAAATCTTTTTAAAAAAACTAACAATGGAAGACCTGGCAATCCCACTTTGGGCATCTATCCAAAGACTATGAAACCATCAACACAAAACCCCACATGTTCCACGATGTTCACAGCAGCATTATTTATAATAACTAGGATATGGAAGCAGCCTGAATATCCATCAAAGGACAGCTGCATCAGGAAGAAGTGGCCTATCCACACCATGGAGTATTATACAGCCATAAGAAAGGATGAAATGAAGCCATTTTCAACAAACTGGAGGGATAAGAACAAACACGAGACATTTACAAGGTGAAAATTTGGTAACATAAAACACTTTCAAAAACTGTTGGACATCAATAAGCATCCTGAGAACTCTGAGGTTACGAGGGAGGGCACAAGGATATAAAGGGCAGCAAGGGGAAATAATTGTAAAACTCCATGAATAAACTAAAAGCCATAGAATCATTAAAAAATAATTTTAAACATTAAATTCAACATTAAATTCAGGGACAATCCTGGTGGTGAGAGGTTAAAGTCTTGGCACTATCAAGCTATCACCAGCCATGGTGGTCTGAGTTCGATCCCTGGCCAAGGACGTGACCTACATGGCGCAGCAGACGTCTCCTGCCTCACCTGCTGCTCCCCTCAGCAGTATACTTCAGTCAATCTACTGTTCTGCTCCCCACTCTGTCTCTGGTGAATCCTCTCACCAACCCCACCCCAAATCTCTGGCCTATGCCCTACTTCTTGAATGCATAAATAAATAAATCTTTTTAAAAACGTAAAGGTAAATCTTTTAAAGTAAATAAATAAATAAATAAATAACCATTAAATTCAGATTTTTGTTAATAGGAGCTCTTTCTGCTCTCCAGAGGTGTGGGGCACAGGAGTGGAGAGAAGGGACTTCTCTCATTTCCCAGAACCACCCATCCTCGCCTCTTCCTACTCACTGCGCTGTTATGATTGTCGCTCACGGAGATGGTGATGCGGAACCAGGTAGTTGTCTGCAGCGGGGAGAGAGAAGGACCTCAGATAAGCCCCCACCTGGGTGGAAGCCACACAGGAAGCCCACCACCAACACACTAGCCCCCAAACCCTCCCTCCTCCCAACCCCACCATGGAGCCCTTCCAGAGTGCTGCTCTTTACCTCATAGTCCAGAGGGCTTTTCAGTCTCACTTCCCCAGTGGTTGCATTGACGTTGAACAAGTAGGCATACGGACCAGTAATCCCGTAGCTCAAAGGGTCCCCGTCTGGGTCGTTAGCTAGCAGCTGGAAGGCCATGGCACCTGGGGATGGGCAGACTCTGTGCAGGGTCCCCGCTACCTCCTTCAATGCTGGCCTGGGCCAAGCTGCCCAATGCCTGGGCAGGGGCCGACTGCTCTGTGCACAGGCTCCATCTGACATCTAGGACCTCCCAGCCCCGGCTCCAGCCCCTGTGGTCACAAGCTTCAACTTCATAACTCAACTTCACAACTCAACTTCATATCTCAATGCTCACTCAGAGGCTTTGGCACCCAGTTTCCTTTGGGGGACCCCAATTGCACTAACACAGTGGACTGTGTCCCAGGCATCTCCTCTCCCCAGCCTACTCTCTGGACCTGCCCTCCTGGAAGGGGAAGACTGAGCTTTGCTGGAGCGCGGTGCATCTTAAGGTGGAGGGCTGCTAACAACCTTCTCAAGGTGCCTGGGCCATCTCCAAGCCTTCTCATTCTTCGCCCAGAGCCTGCCTGCACACTCTTTCTGATCAGAGCAGCTAGCCTCTGCAGAGGGCACATCCCTGGGCAGAGCAAGGGTGGGGAGATATTAGGAAAGACCCAAGGTCGTCGATGTACCACCTGAAAGTAACTCACAGATTTGCCCCGCCCATGCCTGCTCCCTGGCCTCATCTGTTTTACCACGTCTAAACTCTGCTCAGCTACCCGACCCCCCAGCACCCTGCACCAGAACTTACTTGCCCTCTGCCACCCCCTTTCCCTTCATTGTTGGACAGCTGTCCATTAGCAGGGCTTTCTCCATTAATCAAAATGTGTTTCCCAGGCCTCCCTGGTGGTGTAGGCAGTTGAGCGCAGCGCTGTGAAGCTGCCCGCAGCCTCTGCAGTGCAGATTCTGTCCCTACCAGCCTCGGAGCAATCCACATGGCGAGCAGACCTCTCCTGACTCACCTGCTGCTCCCCTCAGCAGTGTATTTCATCAGTCTGCCTGTTCTGTTCCCTAATCTGTCTCTGGTGAATTCTCTCACCGCCCCCCACGCATCTGGCCTGTACCCTGGCTCTTGTATAAATAAAATAAATCTTTAAAAAAAAAATGTATTTCCCTAGAACTCCCACCTACAGGTCCCCAAGGGCCTATCCCTTCAACCCAAGACATACAGTGCCTGGGGCCACAAGAATGTTTAACTTCTTTTAAAACCCTGTGTACACACCCACACACACACACACACACACACACACACACACACAACATATATATATATATATATATCATATACAGCACATATATAATATATATTAACTCCAGCCTGCCTGGTAGCTGTCTTGTCAATGCATATATTTTTCTGCAGCTAGAGTCCCATGAAGATGAAAAGCAGCCACATGTGGCCATGGGGCCTGACTCCCAGACTGAGCAGGGCACAGAACCAGCCCACCCCTCTGCCCACTACAACCCTCAGGGATGGGCTGAGCAGCCCACTCCAGAGCCTGTTCTTCCATCGGACAGTCGCTTGGAAACAGTCCTTGGAAAGCTGGTTCAGTGTCTTCCCACCTCAGCCCTTGCCTCCAGGAAGACCACCAGATGTTCTGCTAAAAAGATGCCCATGTCTACATTACCTGGTACCTTTGCAGTTCTGACACTGCAATAGACTGTTCATTGCCCCCTGCTACCCACACCTCTTTCTCTAAGACTAACAGAACCCCAGATTTTGATCTAGGCACATGACTAACCAGAGTAAAGGCTTATGTCTCAGGTTCCCTGGCGTGGGGTGTGGGCATGTGACTAAGTTCTGGCCAGGGAGATGTGAGCAAAAGGAACGTGTGTAAAATCCCCAGTCTCTCTTAATGGGAAAGGGACAAGTCCTCCCTGCTCCTTCCTCCTCCCACTGGCTGGAAGAGGGTGTGGCACCAGCCAGCTGGGACTCATGGATAAGATGACATCTTAGGGGAGGCAGAACCTGGAGAGGGAAGCAGGCACATAAAGCAAGGAACAGCCTGCTGGGACCAAGCTTCTGAAAGCCCTAGGCTTTCTGGCTATGGGAGAGAATAGCACACCTCTACATGCTCACACCCCTGAAGTCTGAAGACCCCTTGAGGCACAGCTGACCCCTATCTTCTCTGATTTGTGCTTCCCCAACACATATCCTGTCCCTGCTGGGAATTTGGTGTCCAGTCTCTACGGTTTCATTCAAAATGATGCTTCCCAAATATCACTCACACCCGCTGCCATCAGCTTCACCATATCCCCATCTCATTATTTATGACTGTTCATTTAATCAACTTGCTATTTCATATTTGATTTTAAAAGCCAGCATTAGATCACTGCTGTACACAGCGGCCCACCTAGAAAGTGACTACCAACAAGCCAAGAAGAGCATCCACCTTATCAGCTTCTGGGTAGAGGTGTGTGAAAGGATCTGAGCCCGAGTCTGCCCTCTTTGTTTGAAAAATAAAATAAAATGTCATGGGTGGAGGGAGAGGAGCAAGTGGGGGAGGTCTAAGAGAAAGGGGTAGGAACTGGATACTTTCTCCTTGGGGAAATCAGAAAGACTGAAAGAGATGGGAAATGGAAGGGATGTCCTCGAGGCATAAGTCACGATTATCTGATGTGGAGTGAAGGCCCTTGACCCAAAGCTGAAGAAAAGAAAAGCAACTTCTGGAACAAACTCCCCCCAGGTCACCTTTGCCCCATGATGAGTCATGAGCTGAAGGCGGGGGAGAAAACTCATAGGGGAACCCTGGGACCCTCATGGGAAGGGCACACACAGTCTGGGCACAGGGACTGCTACTCACCCAGTGGGAGGTCCTCGGGCAGAGTCACTGATGTCATGTTGGGCAGGAAATTCGGGGCCTTGTTGGCTGCCACTGTAAGGACAGACCGCTGGAACATCTGGACACCCAACAAAGCCTGACCCCCAGCTACCCCTGTGGGAGTCCACACCAGCCCCGTAGGTCAACCTTCAGTCTTTTTCCCCTCCTGGGCCTGGGATGCCCTCCCTCATATCTCCCCAAGGCAGCCAAGCACAGGGCAGGGTGAATGAGGAAGTACCCCTCTTTTCCAAGGATCCAGCATCAATCCCCAGGTTAGCGCTACTCTGGTGGGGGAGGGGAGGTACCCACCAGACCCTACAAGGGCAGGAAGCAGGAGGCAGGACACCCACGGCCACGCCATCATGTCTGGAGGGACCTAGGAGAAAGGTGTCAGGGAAGGAGCACATGTACCCAGGACTCCCTCCTTTGGCAGACCCTTCCCTAATTTGTCTGGGTCTGACCCAGGCCCACCCTCCACCACCCCTCAGGGTTCTACCCTCTGTCCTATCACCCTCTGTCCATTTTCCAGATGTTCCGGGGAAGGGAGTTTGGTGGGGGTGGGTAGGGTAGCTGAGCCTACTTCAGAACCCTAGCCTGTGACTGACCGTGATGCCAGAATTCAGCTCCCACTATGTAGCAGGCTCAGCTGAGAGCACATTAAATACGTGATCTTCATGTTCTACCCCCAATGAAGTGGCTGCTAAAAATCCTAGGCTGAGAGATTAAGGGGCTTATCTAAGGCCACACAGAAAAACAGCAAGGACACAGTTTTTTTAGACTGCAGAATTTATTCCCTCAACCACTAAACTACCTTGCCTCTGAGAAGTGTCCAAGCTAATAGTGTCCTTCAAAATCAGGGACATGGAGAGGGACTATGACTTGTCCAGGATCATCCAGAGACTCTAGGGTCAGTCAGGATCCTTGTCCCACTTGCTGACACCCATAATAGCTGCTTTGGCAGCCTTTCCCAAAGTGCATTCTGTGGAATCCTGGCCCTATAAGAAGTCCCATGGCAGACGGGTTCCCTGGTCAAGTCAGTTTGGGAATGGCTCGAAAGCTATGGGAGAACCAAAAGGGAATGACCCCAAACCATGCAGTCTTCATAAGATGGGAGTCATCCACAGGGAAGAGGAAAGGGGAGAGAGTATGCCTTCCAGAGCTGAACCTTGACCATGAAACAGCTTCAAAACCAGAACTCCTCTCCCTCAAACCACCGCCCACTGTTCCTCCTAAGTTCCCCGCGCAGGGACTGACCCACATGATCAAATCACCAAGACTCTTCTCCCACTGCCCAGAAATGCCAACATCCAGTCCTTGCAGCCTCTGAACTCTCCATCCACCCACATCTCCACCCCACAGTATCCCTCTCCCCTGGGCCAGCCGGCTCCCTTTGATCTCTCTGAAGCAGCCCTTCCTCACTCCATCTAATGACCTCCTTCCCCTACTCAAAACTCTTCAATAGCTCCCTGTGCCAGAGTCCAAACTCCAGAAAAGGGCTCCCTAAAACCCTCATGCCCTGCCTGCCTCCCTCCTCACTTCATCGCCAGCCACACCTGGCCTCCCTCTGCCCCCACCTCACCTCACATGTCCAGACTCAACCCACTTTCCCTCCTACATCTTTGTATATGCAGTTCCCTCTTTCTGGACTGTCCTTCCCTGCCTTGCCTCCTGAGGAGCAGCTCCAGGGCCACCCCTGTTCAGACATGCCCTCAATGCTCTGGCTGGCGGAATGGACTGACAGTTGCCCCTGGAGATCAACCCCTCCCATCAGACAGGGCAAGGTCCAGATCTGTATCCTCTCTGTGACCTCAGGACCAAACACAGGGTGAACCCAGTGCGGGATCACTGAGCATCTCTGAAATGATGAATGAATGAGCTGGTGAATCAATCCACTCCCAGTGACCTGGCGTGGAATTCCTGTGAGATGGGGCAGAGTGTAATGGTTATAAGTATATGGGGCAGAGGGAACTGGGTGTAAGTCCACTGCAATCTTGGGCAAGTAACCCCACCTCTCTGGGCCTCCATTTCCCTATCCATAAAATGGGAACAATAGTAGCATTTACACTACGAGGTTTGTGTGAGGCTTCAACAGTGCCTGGCACTCAGAAAGTGAGTAATAAATATTAGCAGTTATTATCACAGAGGAAAGGAAGTTCTGTCTCTTGCGCCCACATCATTGGGGTCTCCATATTCAACTCCTTTCTTCAAACTTTGCCCTGCCCAATCACCTCACATGTCCCCTCCTCAGTGTCTCCTAGATGGTGGTAGAGACCTTGCCTCTTGGACTTGGTGTGCCCACCTGCCCTCAAGTTTCAGCATGAACCTCCCCCTTTTAATTCAGAGTTCTCCTTGCCCCAGTTTCCTCACACCTGCTAGGAAAACCTGGGATTACAGGGGAGTCGATAATCGTAAATATTTGTTGACATTTCCTGAGCACCTACAATAAGCTGAGTAGCCTAATGTATCCATTCTCACTCTTTTTTTTTTGAAGACTTATTTATTTATGCACACAAGAACTGGGGCACAGGTCAGAGGCGTGGGTGAGAGGATTCACCAGAGACAGAGTGGGGAACAGAACAGGTGGATTGACTGAAGTACACTGCTGAGGGGAGCAGCGGGCGAGTCAGGAGAGGTTCTGCTGCACCATGTGGGCTGCTCCCTGGCGCCTGGGGATCAAACTTGTGCTGCAGTGGCTGCAGACAGTCCCATAGGCTGCGTCTTAACCCTTGAGCCACCAGGGAGGCCCCCCATTCTCACTCTTAATAAATATTTTTTGGAAGCCTATATGCCTTGTTGCCAGCACTGGGGATGCAGTTATGAGCACAGTAGTCAAGTCTTCACTAAGCTATGGTTTAGTGAATGAGACAGACTCAAAACCAGCAGCAAAGTGTTGTCTAATTGTTCCCTGTATTAAGTACTCTACAGGAAGAGAATATGGGTGAGTATGTAAAGAGAGAGACAACCCCCCCCCTCAGACAGTATGGTAGGTAAAGAGAGCTACAAACTCTTAGCTTCTCTTCCCAGCAAGAGCCCGTTCCCCTCAAATCTGGTGCACTCATCATGTTTTAATTTTCTATATTTCATGATTCTCTGATATCTAAGGGGCCCTGATGGTCAAAGAGAGATTGCCCTTCCCAAGGTCAGCTAATTCCTAGAATACCCACAACACTCCTTTCATATGCAACCAACTAATCCAAAGTCCATACCCCAACCACCTCCTTTCTCTAACTCCCACACACCAAGCCCTAAATCACCCCAGGGTCATGTGTTGGAGAACTAAGGATGACTCCTAGAGTCTGCCAAAATTATTTGACTGTTCAGTTGCTTACCTGCAGCTTCTTTCCCAAGGAAAATGCAATTAAAGCTCTGGGGTGCACTTTTCCCTAATTCCTTCTGCCTCCTGACCAAACCCGGTGCTTCCCACTGTGGCCCTAAATGGCATGGCATGATCCTTCATGTGGGGAAATGCGAGTGATACAAATCTTTTAGTGGCCTCAGCCTCCCCATGTCATCACTGTCATCTCCATACATTAAAAATCCCATGGGGCCTCCCTGGTGGCACAAGGCATTGAGACACAACCTATGAAGCTATATCCACAGCCACTACAGCATGAGTTTGATCCCTGGCCGGCCAGGGAGCTACCCCCATGATGCAGCAGACCTCTCCTGAATCACCCACTGCTTCCCTCAGTGGTATATTTCAGTCAACTGCCTGGTCTGTTCCCCACACTGTCTCTGGTGAATCCTCTCACCCCCCACACTTCTGGCCTGTACCCCAATTCTTGCATGCATAAATAAATAAAATCTTTTTTAAAAAATTCCATGGCCTTAAATTAAGACATCCAGTAATGTCCTTTGATGGACTGTCAAATATAGCGTCAAGAATATTGTGCCAGTTTCCAGGCCTAGGCTTCAAGACATTGGCTCACTCTTGGAACTTGGCAGCCATGCTGTAAGGAAGCCCAGTCTGCCCTTGAGGAGGCCTGTGTGAAGCAGAGCCAAAGGCCTGACCAATACACTGGTTGAACTTCCAGCCAACACCCAACTATGTGATAATTCACGTGAGTATTTCATCCCCAAATAGACCTTCTACCTCCAGATGAGTCATTCTGCTGAGCCCTGCCCAAACTGTAGGATTCTGAGCATAATAAATGTTTGTTGTTGTTGGCTGGGGTGGTTATATTGCAGTGAAAAATGGGAAGAGAAAGAGTGTAGTCTTAAGTGTCAGCGAAAGTCTGAGGAAGGAGAAAAGAACATGGTATGAGGGATAGTGGAGGAGTTTCCTGTTAAATGTGGAGGATTTAACATTTATCTCTACTTTCTCCCTCTTGAAAACCCTCTTGAAAAGTGAAGATTTAGGGAGTTGGAAAAAATGAATGAAAACCAATCACCTTATCAAGCTAATGATAGTTAAAAACCAGAGGAGGAATAGGGTTGGGAGCAACCCAGCAAGGCTAAAGGATTGAATGTTCTCAAATCTCCTGAAAGCAGAGGTGTGGTGTGGCCTGAAGGCAGGGAAAACGGTGGAATGTTTGCATGAGCACAATTAGACTCCTAGACACTACTTATACTCCTAGGTACTCACCTGTATAGCCAGGTGGCTGCCCCACCCTATCCCTCCCTCCCTTGAACACTAGAGTCTACTTCCTAGAAAGTTTGAATCAGAGAGATCTGAACCTGGGGTCACTAGGTCTGGTGGAGGTGGGATACCACAGTAAGATAGGGCTTCAAGTGAAAGACTATACTAAATAGTGACACTCAGACTCCTTCTCCCTCTCAGTCCCAAGAGCACTGGCAGATAATGATACCTCTCCCAATAATCAGAAATTTAAAAAATGAAGAAATTTAACTGACTTAAGAAAAAACCCACAGATTTTGAAATGCGGGGAATTCCATTGGATTACTTTATAAGCCTCCCAGAAGACAAGACCTACCCACAACCCAGGGCCCCCAGTTGGATTTTCAGAGTCTCATTCTTAATTATGAACAGCCAGCCAGGATCATCTGACATTGACAGGAAGACAGACATATGGCACGCTGGACCTGCTACTGAAAACTGCCAAATTTTCAGGAATTGGACAAGCTGATTGGAATTATGTTATGTACTTTGAAATCAACGAGGATGGAAATATTTATAATCTAGAAGTAAGCAAACATAACAAATCATGGAAATCCACATTCCAGCAATGGACACTGAGAACCCAAACCAAATCAAACAAAAGCATGAGAAAAATCAACTCTGAGAAAACAGAGACCATGCAAGAAGCTGAAGAAAACTACAATGAATATTCTCAGAGTCACAAGAGAAGCTTTTATCATCATCCATGAATATGAACAAGATGATGAGATAAACAAAATAAACTTCCAAAGAATAAG